TCAATTCATTCACGGATGTAGAAGACTCGAAACAACTTCAGAAGTAATCACGACAAAAATTTTAACAAAATTACGCAATAACAACAAGGTACGAAAACAACGAGTAAACACAATTAATCCAAAATCACAAATTGAGAAGACACACAATACGTATACACAAACAGTACAAATATCCTCGCGGATCATGTCTTGGTGGAATTCCTTTGAAGAATTGCAGGACTTACACCAGTACGCCTACAACCCTTCACAGGTTGACGACTGTAAGTTGTGGAATGTCCGGACACAAACAAGACTAACCAACAATTACAATAATTGGAACTCACACAATTATTTAGCACAAACATATGTACAATCAATACATCAAATGTTGTGGATTCTGCCTTGACGAACTAGCCTTGAAGAACTGTAGGACTTACAGCAGTACGCCTACATTCCTTCTCAGGTTGATGGTCCAAGTGGAAGTCGTCCAGACACGAACAGAATTGCCAACACCTAGATGAAAGATGATATCAATTCAGTATATACAATATGAACATATGTACAAAATCACACACCAAGCACATTGGACTGCTTATTGATGCACTACCCTTTGGAGAATTGTAGGACTTACAGCAGTACGCCTACAACCCTTCTCAGGTTGACGTCCTAGGTTGGAAAATCGTCGCAGAGTTCGTTTGCTGACTTCCTTTTATCATCTATATCCTCAAATCTGAACGGTAACACGCCCATGTCATTGTATCGTAGAATATAGATGACGAACAGACACACGACGTATCTGGTCAACCAAGCGTAGGCACAGAGTAATTTACACCAAAGATAATAACATTCAAATAGTAACTTGAAACTAGAAATGCCTTTATTCGTGCAAGTCAATTTAACAATTACTCTCTCGTTTACACTTGGCTGATCCTCTCTAAATTGAGCAATATCTTTCGTCCTTTCAAACGCACCAATACTATCATAGTCATCGCACAAGATACTTGAGTTGACAAGCGTCCTTCTCATTATGGATGACAACACCAACGACATCTGATTGATACCAGTGGATGAACTTAGCGGTGGATCAGAAGCTGTTGTTGTTCGGCTTTCAGAAAGTTGTCTAGCTGCAAGATTACCACCACTGCTGTCTTTTACTATCAGCTCAGGTTTAGCAATAGCATCTGATGATAGGTGGGCTACATGCTGATCAATCACACTGAAGGTCTCACAAGTATGCATGCCTTCTGCAACTGCACCTGCATTTATTTCTACTTCACGTTCAAGTTGTACAGAAACTTTGTTCAACTTAGCAGTAGTAGGCATATCCCTCATCTCATCATGATCAACCAAAGGCAACTGTGAAGTATCATGATCATTATCATGAATATTCATTTTAACATCAAGTTCATCATTTTCAAACTCTTTGTTAACAGCAGTAGACAATTTTGGTTCCTCCTCACAAATCATTAAAGGTTTTATATCTTCACTCTGACTAGTTATACTTTGTAAACTTGTGGAGTCAGAACTGCACTCTGAAGCAATAACTCTATTCTGTGACACTCTATTCAACAATGGCTTACCAGTTGCAACTACAGACTTCTTGACCGCACCGTTATCGTCACACAATTCGGAGTCAGGCCTGGAGTTTACATTTAGCTTATCACTGAACTTGCTCACTGGTTCACAGTTCACCTTTGTATGCACCTCTTGCAAACGTGTAAAACACAACCATGTTTGTCTTGCATCTTGTAACTTATCTGTTGAGGATGTACTACGAAACCTGTTACAATCACTAGGTCTATATGCATTACTAGACATCATGGAGGTAGGCGTCTTGCTATTACTTCTAGTATAAAACTCGAGTTGAGGTCACTCATGCAATTCATCGAAATCAAGGTATTCTTATAAGGCATAAGATTATCTAAAATCTCAGCGACTGCCTGGGAGTCATCCTGTAATTGAGCACTATTACCCTTAACAGCCTCGAATAATTTCCCTACAATCATCGAAGGTCTTCCAAACCTTTGACGTAGTATGCTCATAGCCTCGTAGTAGCCCTCTTTTGGCTCCATAAACTTACAGCACTGTATAGCCCTTGAAGCATCTCCAGTGCAATACCTCATCAAATACATTAACTTCATTCCATCAGTTAACAAAAAACCACTCAACATGATTTCAAACTCCTTTACAAATTGTAAATAATCAGCTGGGTTTCCGTCGAAACACCGTGGTTCAAATTTAGGGAGTTTGATGTTCCTATTATCCCTGAACGGCGAAACAGTAACATCAACCATGTCATGTTTAACATCAGTCACATCGTTACAATTAACAGACAAGTCAACATGACTTACTTTCCTGTTTGCATCCAAGACGCTCTGTCCCTTCTTTGACCCAGGCATTGCTGAACTTGACCCAATTCCAAAAACGTTCCAGATATTGCTTGTTCAAAGAGGACTTGACCGGCACCAGGAAAGATGATTGGTGACTATCCAAACTGTCACCAGCTACCTGAATCCGTCAGAAGATGGGGGTGTTGGTTTTGAGCAAACAAGCATGAATTGAACTATCAATCTTCAACTACACTTACAGTAGTTTAAAACATATAACTTTTATGAAACTTAGCTGCTGTTGATAATCTGGTGATGGACATATTTTTGTACAAATTTAAGTACGTACACAAAGCTTTGATTGTAGCAATATTCATCGAGACTTCGTGTCACACACCAGGGAATTGGAACATAACCTCCTAGACGCAAAATCGGAGAGAGGAGCATGTATCTGGTCGCACTCTTATTTAGTACAAACAAGCCTCACTTTCAGGTTGAATGACTTCAAAGATGTTCGAAGCCGAGAAACTGAGAGATGAATCTGTGAATGACACGTTCACCAAAACATTTAGAGAAAATTTGGTGACGTTGTGTAGCCTCAGAAACAAAACGCGTGTGGAAGAATTCTGGAACTGACTGAAAGCAAAGTTGGAGTTACAAGGAATCAAGGAAGAATGTCAGTTCATTTGGATCTCAGCCATTTCGCCTTTAAGGGTAAATTTGTGTATGTGTGTTGATTGGAGGTGCTTGTGAAAAAATAGGTTTTCAGGGAACAGGAGTGCTGCTACTGCGCTGTGGTATGATTGCGTTTTTACGTACTCCCTTCATGCCATCTTTAATAATAAAGTCTTGCATTGCCACCTATTGAAATCAATAGCATCCATTCTTAATGTTTTTGGTACATGAGAAACGCCAGTTTACGTACACCAATATTATATGCGATATAACCACATGATCCCAAGCACTCCTTCATAAAGCATAGAGGTTAATATCTGTTAAAGATGGTTGGGACGGTCTTAAGAGCAACCTGACCAGTAGACCCAAGCTAAAGCGTCAGCAGTTAGTGTTACTTAAAGTGCTAGTCAAGCAGCATAGATAGCCATACAATAATTTCGAGCGTTATTTCTAGTTGAATCCTATGGAAAACAGGCCTGGTATCGTCCAAGCAGTGTAACTAGCTCTTTTCCTAAAAAGGAAATCTGTAGGTACCTTTTCGATGAATGGAGGCATAAGACCCACTTAATGCAATCCGTTTCAACATTGTTCAGAAAACTGTGGCTACTTAAAGTGTATATAAGTACTATTTGGCTTATTTTTTCCAGATGATGTCTTCAGAAGCCCGTGGACTACATGCTGGTTATTATAGGCATTGCAAGAGTAAACTTTGAGTTGACGGACTTGAAGTCTTCTACCAGAACTGGAAATACCCCGAAACTTTTCCGAATAGACTCGACTAAATCCAAAATGTAAATCAAATGGTTCCAAATTTGACGCTCCCAATCAAAAGGGCGTTAGTTTCTCATCTGAACAGTCGATGAGATAGTATTTACAATAATAGTCAGTCATCACACTCTAAAATCGAAACAAAGGGGGGGGAATTAACTAGCAGGCCACGTGCACTCACATTTCCAAAATCCGTTGCACCACACACGTAAATAAAAAACGCTTCTCCGAACATCTACTAGTCTGCTCAGCTTCGCGTCAGGTAGCCTTACACAAATTCGTGAGAAATCTTACAGGTCAGCATACCATACAGACTTTAAGATCCATTTCCCACTAAACTACTTACTTCACAATAATTTTTTACCTACTACTACTACTGTACTCTCTTATACCTTAGTTACGTATGATTTAATGAAGTTAAAATTTGCGTTAACATCGACCAAATGTTTGAGGAAAGCTGTGTTGTAATCGGAAGTGTCTCAGTTTCCATGATGAGACCAAAATTGTTAGGATTGTACATTGCAAATGCATTTTATCATTCCAGGGACTCTATAGCTCCATATTGTATAAAACTTGTAATTATAATCTAAGTGATATATTACCCGTCATTGTGTTTTGTACCATTTTGCAGTTTCTCAGTGCATTCTGATCCTGAAATGGCACTTACCTTAATATTAGCTGTTCATTGGCTGAGCTGGAAACGAAGTAATTTACGGGCTGCTACTTTCATTAAGGGTTCACAGTTTTACATTTATAAGGACCCGTTCTTGTTGTTTATATTTTTTATTCAACTATTCAAACTTTGAAAAACTGCTAACCGATTGATCTTTCACGACTGAAGTTCACATAATATCTGATCATGTCTACATAAATGTCATATGTTTCATGTAAACGTACCTGTTTATAAGGAATATAAGTTATTATTACTTTTGAAACCTGGTTCGAAAAGGTATACTGAATGTTAGTAGGTGGAATTGTGGACTTTATAAAGGTTTGTTCTGGGTATAAAGAATACAGCAGGCCATCTTAACTGTCTGTAACCATATATCCGAGACTCAAACGAGTAAAAGTTTTATGTCTATACTGAAATTTTAAACCTACTGAAATTCCGTTTATTGTCCTCCAATGTACCATTTCGAAAACTTTGTGTTAATAAAACCAATAGTCTTTCATTTTTTCACGTAATTTCTTATAATATTTTGGATTTATTTCTTTGAATATAATATGTCACAATAGTTTAGTTGGCTCATTGGACGCTGTAACGACCTTCGGTCCGTAGCGCGTTTACAAGTGTGATAATAGTCTGCATCTGATGATTTTGCATATTCAAATGCGTTCATATATTCGAGGAACACGTTAGAAGGTGTATGGCGCATGCAGATCGAATAATTAGTAACAGGAGTGGCTTATTTTGTCCGAACATCTAATTTTCGACATCATTAATGCCTCAAGATTCTTGTTTTCGGAGATTAAAAGGATATACCACTAGAAGTGAGACCATTTTGTATAGCTAAGAATAAATATTATGAGTTTGTGTTTTTAAGGAGGTGAAGATTTACTGCTAGTGCAAGTATGTTATCTTTTTAAAATAATTTGGATTCTAGAATCGAGAATAACTATAGCTGTGGTTTCGTATCATTTATGTTGTTCGAGTCTCCGAGGACAGTCACAGGATATGAGGTCTAAAATCGTGAGATACTCCTTAACAACTCTTACGAGCGCTTCACGTATCGGTTTTTTTTATTTCCATGAGGCTTGTTTAAATAGTGAAGAGTGGTCTCTTACTGATGTGATGTCTCAGAATAGTAACTCGTGTTGTACTATCTGATTTAGTCTCATTGGAGTCAAATATATGCAGTCTCGTGTAAATATAATTTGATACAGCGCTTTGTACAGAAGTCTGGATTTAGATAATAAGGATAGTAGGCTCTTACTGTGTGTGTTAGACCTAGCAGTATATGTCCGCAGAGATCCAGTTTCTCGCCGAAGCTGATACTGCTGAATCAGATGAGGAGGCCAAGTCATTGTCCAGTCTGTGAGCGAACATAAATTACACACGCATTTTATTCTTCCACCATTTGAATACCTTTTTGTGGTGAGCTTGTAAGCGTGTCATGGAGCGGGAGAAAAGATTTGAAAGGTCAATCCCTAAATCACCCTTCAGCATACGGTGTACCAAAACTAAGTCGCCCCTCCCCCTTCGGTATAGAAGTGGTAATATATTTAAATGTTCTATCCGGTTTTCATAAGGAAGGTGTGAGATACCACTAACTAATTTGGTTCCTGTCCTCTGTACTGTTTCTGAGATATGTGCTTCCTTATTGAAGTATACACTCACCTCTTATATGCAGTATTCTAAATGATGCCTGATATATTTTGCGTGGACTACTTTGAAAAGAGACTCGTATAGTCGCTTAAATGCCCTTAGAAGTGCCCGTGGCATTGGAAAGGCCGTGGCTGTGGCTATTACAACTTACAGTTGTTTTTAAATTATGGCTCACAATAATTTCTAAGTCATTTTGCCCGTTAACATCTGGCAGTTGTGTACCCCAGGGAGTACTTCGTGTAAGACATCTGACCTAAGTGCATTAGTGCCTGGAATTAATTTCCAAACTCCGGAGGTTCGACCATACAGCTAGTTTATCAAGATCTCTTTGTAATACCGAGTTGTCGTCATTAGCTACAGTTTTCCAAATCTTAACGTCGTCCTCAAATAATAATGAAGATGAGGTAAGAGTTTTCGGCAGTCCATTTAAGTATAATGGGAGTAACAGAGGGTCTATCACAGTTCTCTAAGGTACTCTACTCGATACCGTTCTCCACCTTGACAGTACACCGTTAAGCCTTTTTATCCGCTAGGTAGTCCCTAAACCGCTGCAAGTTTACCATTTGAATTCTCTCCCCTTTGAAGTAGCATATAGAAACGATAGTAAAATTAATAACAGTGTTACGACCATCCTTGAACAACGGCTTCTGAAGTCAGTTTCACGTTACGTTCGAAAGTTTTTCTTAAATTTCAATTTTAATCATTTGAACCATCTGTTAGGAGAATTTCATAAGGAACCCCAACTATAATTACCCCACCTTCCGCATACTAAAATACGGAGTAATTATTTTATTAACAGTAATACCAGTAGTTAGTCGTCTGTCTTATGTGGAGGTGGACACACAAATGTGATCTGTCGATTGTCTTTTCAACGTCTGCGTCAAATGCTGTGGATGTACACATTATGCAGTGGTGGAGATAAACACTAGATTTGTTGATTGAGGATGGAAGACTTCCAGCCAATATTAGTCTTTCTAGTAAATTTCTGTGCTTATCCAAACCCATTTTGAATAAGTCAATCGATGAGAACGCTGACACTACTTCTTCTGGAAGTCAATTCCAGGGGTTGATAACTCTTTATTAGAACCAATACTCTACAACAGTATAATTTCTCTTTAGCTTTCGAACTGTCATGCTATGCCCTCTAAGGTGTTCCCACCTGTTAGGAAGGAAAAGGGAGAAAAGATCAGGTCCGTAGTGGCTATTTAAAACTTTAAACATTGTAGTGTGATATCCTCTCTGCCCACGGTGTATGATAGGGAGAAGAGATTTTAAATGTCTGATCTTTCCTCATTGGGAGAAATTGGTCATGCCAAGAATAATACGTTTTGTCTTCTTTTGGACCCTTTCTAGGATTTATGAGTCCCCTTTCAGATAAAGATTGGGTGGCTACCTGGAAACAGTTTTCCAGTCTTGACTTCATCAGTGAAAGTTGTGTATAAGTGAACGTATTTCTGTTGCTTACTGCATTCTAAATAGTAGATTTTAACATTCTAGCAAAATATGAAGCTTGTATTCTTCCTAATAAATTTTAACAAAATTAGACAAAACAATGACAGTCATCTCTTTGGGGATAATTCTATAGGTTCTTTAAATGTACCAGTAACAACAGCTTTTAATTTTTTCACTCTTATTTTACTCTTGTTTGCGACACACCGTCGTAATGGACAGATCAGATTACAATATAAAATGTGTTGTTCAACTGTTGGTTTTCAGGCATTTGATTTGATTGCTTACAGGATTTCGTCATGAGCTGACATTGGTTAGAGAATCCTTGGAAAATCAGCTAGGAGTATTGAACAGCCAGCCATTTTGGGACTCAGCTTCAGCATTACCCGCTCACCCATTGCCAGGGTTCTAACTCAGGACCTTCCGGCTACAAGACGTAACAGCTATTCAGTACTCCCTGGCGGTTTACAGTTGTTCTCCAACTGATGTCAGTTTATGAAGAAATCTTGTAAAGTGTGTTAGTTGGCACTTTCATCACATGGATTCTGTGTATTGAAGGGAGCCCAATCAACGTTGGTCTTGTTTGTATTATTCTAGAGAGCTCTAGCATCGCAACTAATTTTGAAACAGTTCTAACCATTGTTTTTTTGCTTTTTTTTCGAAATATTTGCTTCAGCCTCAGTTCAACACAGCGTGTCATCTCTTGGTATTGATCTAAAAAAAGGTATCGTTCTTTGAAAAATTTCTTATTCCATTGTGTATTGATGAACTTGTTAATTAGAATTTGTTTGAAATACAACGGCTCAGATTTTATCATTTCATGTGGTATGCAGGTGTCTTCAGTGACTTATAGACCATTGACGTAAACATGTATCTTTTAGTAGACTGCATTCGTGGTTTCCTCTCTCCAGTTTCTCGGACAGTACTCAATCATCGAGTTTGTGTGTCATCAAACGACATCAGTTGTCCGCAGCTAGAGAATTTCATCACTTTCCATAAATAATCTGTAGGTGTTTAGAGTATAGACAAGGCTACCTATCATCACCGACGATGATATTCCTAATTATGCTCCACTGGATTATGCATCACACCATGTACGGGGACTGAAAAGACAGGAATACACTGAGGTGATAAGAGGACTCTAGAAGATATGGATTTCGCGGATAATGTATATCGTTTACTGACACATAAACTGGAATACTTGCAGGCGGAAACCAACTAACTGGCTGGGACTTGCAATTCAGTTGTATGTATCTGCATTTCCCGGTGATTGAGTGATAGTGTTTCCCCATTGGGGCTCATGTCAAATAATCAAATATCGGAAGTCTAAGCTTGTGCACAAGGAGCCTACATATCGTCAGTTTGAGGCCAGTGGAGCACTTCGATGGAGTTATCAGTCAACAGGAAAGTTCAAATTGAATTAAATACATTCCCATTTGTTAATTAATTAATTATTTCTTGTACGCATGTGTAACTAAACCAAATTTGTGTCTTCTCACTCTAGTTGTTTTTTCTTATTTCTTGTTGGCAGATACACTTTCCATTTTGCAAGATCTCTTAACTGGCATTTATAATGATTTTATGGTCATCTATCAACCTTACAATCGATCCGATCCTACACTTGATGTATCTACACAACAAAGAATTGTTGCTAGACTTAATGTCCTTGTACTTATATCCAAAAGAGTGTTTCAGGCATTGCCTGCTAATTCGTCATTAAGAATTCCACTCTTACAGGCAGTATATCATATGTAAGTTTTGTCGAATTTTCAAGATTGATGATTGGTACTTTTCTGTTCCTGTTCATTTAAATTATTATTATTATTATTCAAGTGTTGGTTGTAGGGATTTGATTGGTTTCAGGATTTCATCATGAGCTGACATTAGTTAGAGAACCATTGGAAAACCTAGGAGTACTGGACAGCTGCTTCGTCCTAGTTTGGGACTCTTCATCGGTGCGCACCCACCGGGATTCGAACCCAGGACCTTCCGGTTACAAGGCGAGCTCGTATACCATTATTATTATTATTACTTTTTCTGCTTGCTAGATTTCTGAAATTATTTGGAAATCTGCCTTTCAGATTTCCGTGACAATCGATACAAAATAGGCTTTTATGGGTTCTCACCATCGCGATGACGCCAACCAACCACTCTCCTTAGGTGGGTTTCAATGAGTGGTGAAGCCAGCCACCACCACGTGCTACCTAGCCAGTTATGTAGCTAGCTCTTTTCCGACCTCATCCATCAATCCATCCCATGTCAGCCAGGCTAATATTGCCCGTCAGTCGAGGAAGGTGGTCGAGGGATAGGTGGATGGCCGCGGATTCATGCATGTATGCTTGACACATGTCCCAACCAACTCACCCAATCCATATAACTGCTTCACAATCTCGTCAATAGATTGATTTTCCCTCCTCCTTACCTAGGGCAACACCCCACTGATGCCTCACCAACTTGGTATTAATCACCCATTACGCCTACTACCTAACCTAACACAGGATGTGGACAGAAGGCAGACTACACGTATGATGATAGACAGCAAAGTTGGTCGGCCTTTCCGTGTCTCTTACTCCCATCATTGGCTGTCATGTGTCACTGGCTCACTCATTCACAGCCAGTCATAAAAGGGGACGCAGGGAAGTGCTGCTTCTGTTGGCAAGCAGTATACACGTATGTCCTTTGGACAACAGCCAGCTGAATATGACGTCTACTAAGCCACCAGAGATGCCGTAGATTGGTTAGCAAATGCCAGAAGAACCTTCTGTATCCGTGATGAGAACCCCAACCACCCGTTGGGGTTGGCTGGCTGATGCAACTTCCGAAATAACTGTGTTGTCAACGTGCTCCATCAGCCAATTCACTCCTCCCTGTCTTTACGCTAGGGGTGATCCGATACAGTCCTATAGCCTCATCATCTTACACATTTGACAGCAGGGGCGAATTCCTGGCATGCCAAACATTCGAAGACTGCTGCTGCCGCTCACGGTGTGTTCAGAAGGCTGCTATATTTTGTCAGCGTCTTCACTCAGGAGGGAGGATTATATCATATCCGCATATTCTAAGTAAACGAGATTATTATACCCTGGTAACAAGTGAAGTGAGTCTTTGAAGTCAGTTAGGATTAAGTCTTTTAACACGTCTATACGCTTGCACATGTATACAGACAAATATACTGAAGTGCAAAACAATCGTTCATACGTGTCGAATCTTCAGGTTATTTCCTTTACACATCCTATGTCTTTTACGCTTCTGATGACCGTTTTGTCTGAGTGTGGAAGTCTAGCCGTGTTCGTCATTTTCTCATGTAGAAGCTTTGTGAAGGCAATTCAATTCAGTGAATTGACTCCTTAGATAAATAATGTCAAATAATCTCAGCGTGTGTGTGTTTTGGTATTACTGAGTTGTGCTTTCAATTTATTTTTGTGTTATTTCAACATATAGTATTCACTCAGTCAGTTGGAAGATAAGAAGTAGTAAAAATAACTTTTGCAATCTATCGGATAGTAGTGGAAGTGAATAGGGCAACAGCGCAGTCAAGTGGCCTTAAACCAACAAATCTGTGCATAGTTCTACGTTGAAACCAGTCAGTTAGTTAGTCAGTCAACCAGACATTTCAGTGATACACAAATTTATGCTTTTCATAATCTTCATTGAAAGTTCCACTCTAAGCCTAATCTTCGTTGGAAGCATCACTCTAACCGTAATCTTCGTTGCAAGTTTCACTTTAACCTTAATCATAGCCGTAACTTAATTTTACCTTGAATCAGGGTGAAACATTCAATGAAGATTATGGAAAAAAGTAACTATTTGTAATTCTGACCAGCGATTTGATTGGTTTGTGGTTCAGCGTCATTTGATTGTGGTGGTGGTGTCTATTCTTTGCTGTTGCCGTAATTGCATAGAGATAGATATATAGTTTACCCTGAAATATACTCACATAGGACTGGAATATTTTATTGCCAAAAATTGAACTGCATTTAAAATATGTTCACATACTGATTTAATAATTGATAATATTACTTTATAAATGCATCGTTTATATGATTAATGTATTCTATGGTTGTGTGTGTGCGTGTGTGTGTGTGTCTTTACGTCATTATCAATATAGCACCCAAAATTAAATCCATATTAAATTCTAATGATATTTAAGCATCTCATTACTGGTTGATTTTTTTTGTTTTTTGCATGTAAGGATTAAAGTCTATTGTGGTGATCGTATATCTGGTGTACCTTTTTTCAGTACCTTACATTTTTGTGTTCATAACAATAATATGTGTGGAACATCGCTTTTTTTCATAATGTCTAATAGCAAAAACCCGTTTTATAAACACGTTTCAGTGTAAAATATTATCTACAGGTTTTATGATCACCAGTTGACATCATTTAGAGAACACCATCGGAAAACCAGGTAGGGGGAGTGCTGGACAGCCAGCTGTTCCTATCGTCCTAGTGTTTGGGATTCCACTCCAACAGTATGCCCCATCTAACAGAAGACCACCTTGCGGTTATACAAAGCGAGTTCTGGTTCTCCAGCTAATGTCAACTTGTGATCCCCAACACTGTGGTAAGCAGTCAAAATGCTTCCAAACCGACACTTGATAATTTAGTCTGATACTTACTCGCCAGTGACTGAATCTATGTGCACAAGAAAAACATATCTGGAGTTCTAGTGAGAAGTTGTAACCAGCTGGTTGGACCAAGTCAGGTAATAGATCAGCTACTTGTTGATGATAATATTGAGTGGCGGTTGCGGGCTATATATATGTATATTGCGAATTGACGGAAGTTGGAATTCTTGTGCTGGTCATTGAGTTGGGTCCCAGTGGCTGAATGGTTTACTTGGTCGCCTTGAAACCGGCGGGTGGTCCTGGGCTGGGACTCTGGCGAAGATTCCCAAGCACTAGGAAGAAACAGCCATCCAGTGCTCCTACTCGCGATTTTTCATACTGAGGTCTTATATACTGCTAACGAATTCTTTAATGGTTTAGACATTAAGTCTCTTCTGCTGTTCGTCCATACGGCCTAACGGTCGAATACTAAACACTGTAACATTCAGTTTGTGAAATGGTTTTATATGCGATTAGAAGTGAGATCTTACTAGGCTATTGGATAGTTAGTTGTTTAGAAATCGTGCGGGGCGGGATCTAAGGGAACTTTGGGTAGAGTTATCTTAGTAACAACAGATAGTGGTGAAGATAAAGACAGGCGTAAACGCTTTGATGGTATGTGGTAATCACTTTGGCTTCGTGCGATTCACTTAAAGTTACATGCTAGCACCATATATGAGAAGTAGTAAGTATATTTAATTTATCTAAATCCCCTGACTGGATTACTAAGCTCTGATGACACTATAATAACAACAACAACAACTGTGTAAAGGCTTTTTTGGTGTTACATTATTCAAAATATTCTAGGCTAAGTTAAATGCTACATTTTCGAAGTCTCTGACAATTGGTTTTCTTGTTCTTCTGGGACTGAATTAGCCCGGTTTGATATGATGTATACGTAGCAGCACTTAATCTGCGTGAAGTTGGTGTTTATTAGATTAAGGGTAAACAAGTCTTCCTGTGATAATCACAGAGGGATTAGCTTGTAACTAACATGGTATCTAATGTTCTAGCCTCGATAATCCTGCGTAGAAGAAGGGGTGTTCGCGAGAAACAAAGACGAGAAGATTAAGAAGAATGTGTATTCATCGTATCTTCAACCGTTGACACATTCTGGAACGGAACATAGGCACACCCTACTTCCAATAATTGCCATATTTCTTGACTTAAAGCGGCATTCAATTCCGTTAACCGAGAGGTATTACTGTAACAACAGAAGACAAAGGACAGGCAACAGATCGTTTATTTAGGAAATCAACAGATATTTATAGATTTTCCTGTACATTATTATAGATTATTGTCAGCAAACAAACAGTCTTTTGATTAGTGGTTTCTCGTTGAACGTTAATCTTTCATCTCTTTGTGACCGTTTCTTGAAATAAAGCATGCTTATTGAAGTTCAGATTATCTTTCTGCAAATTGTATCCGCCTACGCAAAGTTTGCTGTGATTGGCTGCTGAGTCAGTCTTTGTTCTTATTTTTCTCATGACCAATATTGAGGACGTAAACATTGACATAAATTACTGTCTATCAATTTTTGGCCAGCAACCAGCTCTTACCACACTACTAGTCAATGTTTGGCTATGGAGAAAATACCGAGAAAGTATTCCGCACTGATCAGGGCACTCTGCTCGAACTCATGCAGCAAGGTAAGAGCCTACGGAGAGTTGTCATCTGAAGTAATGGCAACTAATGGTGTCCGTCAGGGATTCCCTGCCCTCTATCTATCTTTCTTTTTAATTTCATCGTAGATGTACTAATAAACTTAACTCTAACTGACTTCAGCGACTCAGGGATTGACTTATTACGACCTGGGAATAATCTCGTCGACTTAGAATATGCATATGATATAATCCTCCTAGGTAAAAACGAAATCTCATCATGGACACAGAAGGTCTGTTTAGTATTCGCCTACCAACCTACGCCATCTCCGGTGGCTTAGTAGACGTGATATCCAGCTGTCTGGCTGGCTGTTGACCAACGAAGCACGTGTGTGCTGCACAGCAGAAACAACAGTTCTATCCGTCCCCCATTATAGCTGCCTGGCTGTCAGTGAAACATGACAGCCATTGTTGAGAGTAGGAAACATCGGTAGTTCTCTGTGTTCTGTCTATATCTCGTGTTATGTTAGGTAGTGGGGGTAATGGGGTTACGTTTTTTTAATCATGAAGGATATAAAAGCCAATTTCGCCACTGTGGTAGTATGTTATTCCATATTAGATGTTTTGCGTAAGTGATGATGAAGTCACCTTCACCTTATCAAATTTCAGACTCTTACTGTCATTGTATTGTTGATTATTGTGTAATTTATTGGTGTCTTTAAAAAAACTACATTTGAGTAGGTTGTTTCAGTTATATCACAAACCTCTGGGGTACTCAGTAATGAGGAAAAGGCAGCTGTGCGCTTTATTATGTGCGTTGGTGGTCCCTCTCCAGTTTTTTGTTGACAAAATTCTCATCGTGAGCTGACATCTGTTAGAGAACCATTAAAAACCAGGTAGGGAGTACCGGACAGTTATATCTTCCCACTTTGGGGCTCTTGAGCAGTATGCACCCAACTCCAGATTTCGAACCCAAGACCTGGCGGTTGTAAGATGAACTGGTAGACCCTTCAGCCACTGAAACCCCGAATCAGTGACCAGCTTAGGAGTTCCAGCTTCTGCCAATTCAGGATGTATATATAGCGCCCTATTTGTCAGGAAGGTGGTCATGGGTTCGAAACCCGTGGATGCGTGCGTACTTCTGTATAGCGCCAGAGTAGGCGGACGAAACAGCTGTCTGGAAGTATTCCCAGTTAATTTCCCAATGGTTGGTTCTGAAACCGATGTCAGCTCATGGTGAAAATCCTGAAACCAGTCAAATCCGTGTAAGCCAACACTTACATTTTTGTTTGTGAAAATTTTATCTGATTTGTATAAACCTTATTAGATAAATTTTAGAACTATTGCAACCTTTCTTTTGTGTGTATGTGTAGTTTGCGTCTTCCTCTTTGGCATTACAATCGATCATTGCGATGTTCAGCTCTACGTTGTCTACGTTATTATGTACACAGTGCTCAGGATATGGAGCTTCTTTTGAAATGTCGTCTAGATCTGTTAATCTCTCGGTTAGTTAGTTATTTGTGTATTTTTAAAAATTGTAATTTATGACTTTAAAAGTGATAGAACAATATTTTAAATTTGTGAGTGGAATCCACCGGGATGTGCATTTCATCCTCCTATTTGACATGACTCGTCAATTAGCTGGATATACATCTGCATCCTCCAGTGAGTTATGTTCTCATAGTTTCAAACACCAGTATCACCCACTAGACCTCTTGGGTCACAAGAATCGCCTATTGTTCTTTTGCAACGGGTATCAGCAGTTATTTGATTCACAATTCGGACTTTCCAGTTAATTTATCGAACCGGATTGGTCGGCCTCAGGTTGATAACTTGTTGGCGTATTGTGCTGATGCCCTGGATAATGTATGATTATTTATCATGAAGTAAATTGGTTGATGGAATCCTGAATGAAATTTCGTCTTTTTGAGACTCGTCGACTGAATGTACCTGGATTTTCCTAGTGACTTTTTGAACTTTCCCGTTAATAAGTTGATTGAACCGAGATGCTGGGTTCAAGCTTTAGTGGGTGAGGTGGTATACACCGTCACCTCACTCACTAGAGAAATGCACGTACATCCGGCGGACGAGTAGTCCCAAATAAGATGAAATGCACGTTATCGTGGATTCCATCCATCAACAATGAAGTTATTTTGATTTAATCATTGCTATGGTCATTAAACAGTCTTTTGTGATATGTACTGAGATTCTTCCCTACGGTGAGTTATAGGGTTGGGAATATTTTCTATATATTCATTTTTAACAGTGTAATTAGTATAAATGATCTATGAGTTATTTGATGATTTATTTTAGGTGTATGGATTTGTCTTATCATCAGAGTAATGTAGTTCCATCAAATAAATTAATTGGAAATTCCACTTTAAGAGGAGTTGACTATCAGCATCATCATCATCAGCCTCATCACCACCGAGCTAGATTTGTGATTCCGTATGACAGTTCTCTTGTTAGTCCTACCCCAGTTTCTTCATATTGTCAACCTAGTAAACAATCACCTTCTTATCAAGGAAATGAAAGCATAGATCAACTGAATGAAATGTCAAGAAAAGGCGTCAGTGTTACGCGTAAGTAGTTGTAATGTGATGGTAATTTTTCATTGTGCTTTTTTGTTGTACGTTAGTAGTGATTAATGATTAGTTACAAGATTTTATCATGAACTGACATTCGCTATAGAAACAACCATTGGAAAACCAGTAGGGAGCACTGCACTGAGCATCTGTTTCGTCCGCTTAGTGCTTACGACTCCCCTCCAACAGTACGTGCCGCCCCACCACCAGGGTTCCACCAACCTAGGACCACCTTCTGGTTATACAAGGCGAGCTAGCCCGTAGACCATTCATCAACCACTGGGACCCGTCCGACCGATTCAATGGCCAACCTATGAATTCCAGCTTCTGACAATTCACGCACAATAGAGCGCGACCGGCACAGGCCAATGTCACATCAGTGGCGAGTATTTGTCCTCACACTTTCGAACTGCGGTACCCCACTGATCACGGCTTCCCACTGGGACCCATCCAGGCAACTACCTGCCTGAATAGGGCCAGTCGCTAGTGAGCGTCAGACAGAGATTGCGGAGTCCCAAACTAGGACGAAACAGTTGTCTAGCAGTAATCCCAGTTGGTTTTCTTATGGTTCTCTTTTAACCGTTGTCAGCCTGAAAACAATCAAATCCATGCAAACCGACACTTGAATACCCGTTCAGTTAGGGTTTCCCTAGAGCTTGCTATTCTACTAAGCAGATCACCTACTGTAGAACTCCACCTGTCATTAAGTAAAGTATCTGAGAAATAATAACAGAATGAATCCCACACTGATTTGTTTGTTACATATGTGGTTACAATTAATACGGTTATGAACAATATATTGTGTTCGAAACGTTATCCAGTATATACTACTGTTTCACTGTGATGAATCTAATAAACAATATAGAATTGCATACTACCACAGTGCCCAAGTTTTACACATATATTAACAAAAGAATGAAATTAGAAAACAGCATACTCACTAAGCCCATTCGAAAAAGTGTCCGTTACTTCATATTTCGTTCTCAGAAATGGTGAGACAGAGAAGAAGACTTCAACGCTTCGACTGGCTTCGATTTTGAGCAATATATGACTGACAACGACGACCAAGTCATATGAATTCTACAACAGCATTCAACGAGACCCGTTGCGCATCAAAATATGTAAAGCTAACACGAACATTCTTCAATAATGTTGTAAGAAGTAAGATTTGGACACTGTGGTGAATTACAGTTCACGTAGCAGTGCAACGTCATGGAACGATGATCATTGTGCTTTGTGCAATACTACGATGTCATAATCAAACTGACAGAGTTACTATACATTCTCATCTCGGAGATACGCCAAGATTCACAGGCGGTATACAATAGGATTGTGTGTGCGCACGGAAGCATTGTGAACTCGACCTTTGAGAATGAGGTTAACGTCATTTCATGGAGGTTAGAGAGAGAGAAAGGGACCTTATCTGTTGCACCTCTGCCTGTATTCTCATACAGAATCCCTTTTAAATACAAAAACTTATAGACTAGCTCTAACTAACACCCACCTGAGAGGATGGGTGCGTAGATGCAAGCGCCTGCCAATCTTGCAACTACACGTTGCACTTAAACAGTGCAAAGCACAGCATAGCATACTTACACACACTGAGAGCCAGATGATAAAGTATGCCTCATGTAGTCTGTATACTATTGACCATTAAGACAATGTCACCTGCATACTCGAAGTTATGAAGTCTTTCTCTGGAAAGCAGATCTACAACACCACGTATGTCCTTCAGAGAAATGCAAGAGAAAAAACGAAGTTGGTGGCTGTGCTGGAAGCTGTGGGGCTGGTTAAAATTAGTTTATGATTTGTACAAAGTTGTACCGAAGACAGTTCCAATTATTTAACCTGAAATCATGCAGTCTGCTTTCACTCCCAATTTGACGAACCCCCATCTTAACCTGAACGCCTGAAAAATGCCTTTAAGCCCCTGACTAACATCAAGCGATGCATCGATTGTGCATGATTGACATAAAAACACGGATTTTATTGCACATTCAGGAGGCTGTAATCAATTGGTGTTTTAGGCTTGTCAGAGCGGCTGTAATGAAATCTATCTGTTCTCTGATACGACAAAGCGTTCGAAAGTTCTATGTGTCAAGCCTTAATTTAAGACATTTCTGTTAGATATAACCATAGTGGAGACCAGGTTTCAGAGAGCATCTCTTATTCATAAATAGCTCGAAACTGTACAAATAACTTGAGATTTCAACAACAATAACAAACAAACTGAGGAAAGCGAAGACAGCATCAAAATGTACGGCTAAAACAAAATATTTTGTAAATGGGAATAATAATAACGAATGTTTAAGTATGTTGTTCATGAGATGATAAGTGGAAGGATGCAAATGATTTCAGACTTTTACCTGAATTATTGCTTCATATTTCTCATGAAGGGGGGATCGCGATATGGCAAGGAAAGCTACACACCAAAGTGTTTATCTGTCTTAACGGACTAATTTCCAAACTTTCAACATGCAGAGGAAGAGAATGCCACTCCTATGGTTGTCGATGGACCAAGAAAGGTTCATAGGCGATTCTCTCCATCCCCCCTCTCTCTGTATGTCCACTACCATGGTTGCGATCACAAAACACTTGGATTCTTCGTTTAACCTTCCAAATTCTAGTTGTTGGTGAACAGGATTTGGTAGGGTCAACGAACCCGTTAACCACAATAAAGCATCTTAAGGGGACGGATAAAAGTCCACCACCAGCCCTATTACATCACTTACAGGCAACAAAATAGTGAAGAACCAAATAGATGTCTCTTCCTTTTCAAACAATTAACAACAGTGAATGTGTACTGTACACGGGCATATCCAGAACATCAATAAAAATTGAACTGACAAAGCTGACAATGTAGGGTGAGTAGCTCCCGTGTGTTGGATAACTACTGCTCCCATTCAGTATCGGCGTAATCTAAGTCAACAATCAGTCAATCATCCAGTGTGGCTCGGACAATGGGTTACATACCTATTCCATCCCAGTCAGTCAGTTGGTCCACTTTATAGTAACACAAGACAAAAAAGGCTCATTGGCCAGTGCCAGTCACGCCATACCGTGCGCGAATTGTCAGAAGTTGAAATTCACCAGTCGGCCATTGTTATTGGTCGGGTCCCAGTGGCTAATGAGTGGTTTGAGACTGGATGGGTCCTAGTGGGAAGCCGTGATCAGTGGGGTACCGCAGTTCGAAAGTGTGAGGACAAATACTCGCCACTGATGTGACATTGGCCTGTGCCGGTCGCGCTCTATTGTGCGTGAATTGTCAGAAGTTGGAATTCATAGGTTGGCCATTGAATCGGTCGGACGGGTCCCAGTGGTTGATGAATGGTCTACGGGCTAGCTCGCCTTGTATAACCAGAAGGTGGTCCTAGGTTGGTGGAACCCTGGTGGTGGGGCGGCACGTACTGTTGGAGGGGAGTCGTAAGCACTAAGCGGACGAAACAGATGCTCAGTGCAGTGCTCCCTACTGGTTTTCCAATGGTTGTTTCTATAGCGAATGTCAGCTCATGATGAAATCCTTTAAAATAAACTGCTATCGATACGGTGTTCCCGTAAACAAGACACCGCGTTATCGTACAGTGTGTGCCATCCAATCCTTGCTTTTCGAATACATTTTCGAAGTTGGTGATTATCTATTGCTTCCACTAGCTAAGTTAAACTTTAAGCACCAGTATGTACCAATGGAGTACTGCAATGACAGAAGATAAGGGTCAGACAACAACTCATTTATCGAGAAAACCAATATATATTTATAGGTTTTTGTGTACATTATTATTTGTTATTGTTAGCAGAGAGGTAGCGTCTTCTGATGGGTTGTTTTCCTACCGAAGGTTATTCTGTCATCTCTTTATTGCCGTTTCTTATACAGTCCATTGATATATCTGCTGATCGTATCCACCTGCGCTATGTCTCCTGTGATTGGTTGTTGAGTTAGTGTTTGTTCTTGTTTTTCTCATGACCGAAATTTAGGACGTAAGCACTGACGTAAATTCCTGTTTACCAATTTTGGCTGGCAGACAGATCTCATCACACTACTACCTCTCCAATTTACCTTGAAATGAACCTCAGTGAGGACACTTTCAGATAAACTCCGGCATCTGTGACATAATGCTATAGAAATTTATTAAAAACAATAATCATTTCAACTAGAAAAAAGGTTTTCTCATCACCATCACTTTTATGGAACATCGGTGGCGTGCTTAAAACTTAAGCTACCGAAAACAACCTCTGTCAGTATTCATGACATACAATTTATCTCATTCACTTTGTGCAAAAATCTGGTAAAATATCAATTCTGATGGTGTAATAATAACATAAATAAGAGAGAATATAAGTCATCTACAGTTATACCATATAAAGAGGGGACATCTGAAACCCTACGTAGAATTCTAAATAAGCAGGAATTAGGGTGGCATTCAAACCTACAAACTCACTCAGGTAGGACAAGCTCTGTAGGTTAAAGGACCCAGTTGACCCAATTAGACAAAATAGTATAATTTACAAAATACCATGCAATGACTGTGAGGTCAACTACATAGGTCAAACTAGTAGGTCAGGGGTAGTCAGATTGTCAGAACATAAGAATTTAACTAAGGTAAGAATGCGTTAATCGGTTAGAAACTAAAATAAAGTTACAAAAGTAGGTTGGGTGACGTAATCTAATTGATAGGGTTCAATGAAAAAATGAATGAGAGTCAAGTTAATAATCTGAGTAGAATTCACTTGAAAATGAATGAGAGTTAAGTTAATAAGCTGAGTAGAATTCACTTAAAAATAAACGAAAATCGAGTTAGCAACAGTCGTCATGAGCGTAGAGATTTAATAGAGGGTGGGGGTAGAAAATAATGCAATTAAGAAATAGACAAACAAAGAAGAAAGAGGTCTGTCTGTCTGTTTTCGACATAGAACTTTGCACAAATGTGCGGAAGTTCAAGTCGCCACATTCCGTGTAGCACGCGAAGCAAGAGAAGAAAGTACAAGAAAAGCATAATAGAAACAGTGAGCAGAGGTGTGAGACAAAGGAGTAATAAAGAAATACAAAACAGTTTCATTGAAGATCATAAGTCACAGGGAGTGGATGCATCTGCGCCACTGAGAACGATTTTGAGCCATGTCACCAATTGTTTCCAACCATAGATTTTTACCGTCCCGAGGACCCCAGCCTGGAAGTCTACACCTTCCTACGTGGCTTAGACCAACTGTTGTGGATTTCATTGACTGATGCCAAGTTTTTGTTTGACCGCCGCTAGCTTTTTTCCAGCCTGACCCTATATCCGCTAACATAGCTCGTCGAGGGAGGCGATGGCTTGGCATACGTAACACATGTCCTAACCATCTCAGTCTTTGTAGCTTCACGACTTCGTCGATTGATTTCCCCTGTTTACCTAGAACTCTACGCCTAACCTCCATGTTGCTCACCTTATTATGCCACTTTACACGGGAAATAGAACGCAGGCACCTATGATCAAAGACAGCTAGTCTTTTCATGTCTTCCACTCTCAGTGGCCAGGTCTCACAACCATAAAGGAGGACGGAGCGGACTGATGAGCAGTACACCCGCCCTTTGGTCGATAGTCGAACATCTCGTCTACGCCAGAGTCGGCGTAAACTAACAAATGCGAAACGAGCCCCTTGTATTCGTGCTGAGATTTCGTCAGAGATCAGCCCGTTGGGGCTGATGGTACTTCCCAAATAAGTGAAGCGGTCAACGTGCTCTACCACTTCACTTCCTATTTTTAAACTAGGCGTCGATGTAGTCCAGTCCTGTAACATCATCTTGCATTTGGCGGGAGCGAATCGCATGCCAAACATTCGTAGATTGCTGTTCAAGGTGTTTAGAAGACTCTGCATTTCGTCAGCGTCTTCGCCTAGAAGGACTATATCGTCTGCATATTCCAAGTCAACGAGATTATTCCCAGGTAGCAAGTCAATCCCTGAATCGCTGAAGTCACCTAGGGTTAAGTCCATTAACACATCTATGATGAAGTTGAATAGAAAAGGAGATAATGGGCATCCTTGACGGACACCACTGGTCGTCATCAGTTCAGATGACAGCTCGCCGTAAGCCCTCACCTGGCTGTATGAGTACGAATAGAGTGCCTTAATCAGTGCAATATATTTTCTTGGAATTCCCTTTACAGCCAAGCATCTCCAGAGAACTTCCCGATCGACAGAGTCGAATGCTGCCTTTAGGTCAAGAAATATAATGACTGTTGGACGCCGGTAGGAATGCCTATGTTCTAGAATCTGTCGGAGGGTGAAGATATGATCAATACACCCTCTTCCTGGTCTAAAGCCTGCCTGGCTCTCTCGTGTTTGTGCTTCCCGAGCACCACTCAGTCTACGCATGATTATTGAGCCTAAGACTTTAGATACTATATTAGTCAAGCTAATCCCTCTGTGATTATCACAGGAAGACTTGTCTCCCTTCTTGTATATGGGGATAATCAGTGACTTACACCAACCCGATGGGACTTCTTCTGATTCCCAGACGCTGCCTAGTACCTCAGTTAATCCGGACAGTAAGCTGTCTCCACCGTACTTAAATACCTCTGGCGTCATTCCATCAGGTCCCGCTGCTTTGCCTAGTTTCAGATTGGTGACAGCTTTAGTAACCTCAGTTAGTGACGGAGGACCTGTGTTTATATCCCATTCAGGGAGGTGTTGGATGCTCGGAAGGTTGAGCGTGGCTGTGGGCAAATTAAACTGCTCCTCATAATGCTCTTTCCAACGATCCAGTCGTCTATCCTGGGAGCTAATTATAGTGCCAAAGAGGTAAGACAAAATTACGTATTTGGTGTTAAGATAGAGCAGGACCATTGTAGATTTAGTGACTGAACAAACTTCTATTGTATGCCGAGTTCAGGATTCAATATGTGAATTGCCATTGCTTCTGCAGTTTGAAGAAGTTTAATTCGTACTCTTTTGGCAAGATTCCCACGTATTGTGTAGATAACTGAGAAGTTGTTTTGTGGGTTTGCTTGGTGTCCGGATTCGATCAAGATTCGATTCAAGATCCCCCCGCCACAGCTCTATCCTAGAACCACACAATAGGTGGGAGAGGGTTAAAATTCTAGAAAGTAATCTAGATAGGTGGAGAGAGAGATTGATTACTGAATCCTTGTTCATCGAGTGAGTCTACACCAAACACATGCAATAAGAATGAATGACTCATCACTCATATGGAAAATACTACTGCCAATCAAATCAAGTGAAGTTAGGAAGTTGTTTGAGTACCTTGATATGATTATGAGCAATAAATTGTGCTCCAAACGTCATCAGTAAACATTACTGTATAACAACACTGTGAGACTTTATCAAAACAAAAATTTACCCATAGTGGAATTATATTCTACCACAGTGGACAAGTCTTATTCTTATAGTGTTTGTTTACTCTAACAAGTAACTGAAACGTCTACAACCTGATGATTCACAAGTTTCCTTCATGGATGGTATAACTATCTCAATACATGAGATGATCGTTCCTCCTTAGTGTGGTGTTCTCCTCAGTTCACCAAAATATCCTCCTGATAACATTTTATATAATTCACATTCAATAAAATGTCGTCGTGTATTTCTCGAAAGAGAAAATAGGAGAAATATGATAATGATGGATTGGTGTGTGCTTCAGAAAGATTGATCTCTGTTTCACGATCTACTGTCAATCAAGTAATTTTTTACTTGAAGATAATGTACAAAGAGAGAATATTATGTGATGAACTCCAGTGAAAGTTTTGCACATTGAATAAACATTGTTCGGAATAAAGCTGTAGTTATCATCCCTAAACTTAGGTTTAATTCAAGGATATTTTCACGTTAGGATTAGGTAATGAAAACATTAGGCTTAGGTTAAGTGTTAGAGGACCTAGATAAGTACAAGCACTAAGAATAAGGCTAATTTGCTATGTCGACACTTTAATCCAAAAGCTTAGGGACATTTTCGTCACACGTGTCAAAGAAAGGTGCCCTGCCTAGCGTCGGTGGCACAATGGTTAGGACTCTCGCCGACCATGCACATGGTCCGAGGTTCGATCCCCTGCCGACCCATACCTGATATCTATGGTCGGCCTGCAAAATTTGGGCTCTGATATCCATGCTGAAAATTCCATACCTGTACCGAAAATACGGTGTGGAATCAAGCTGTAATCAAAAATAAATAAAAAAATTTCCATACCTTTCTATCCATTATTCTCATGAATATTATATATGTATTGTATATGTATGTATCGCCTTTATCCTCACAGGATTGGTGAGTCATTTGTCATTTGTCCATCGGTACTTACTGGTGCTTAAAGTTTATAACTTGACGCGGGCTTTTGGGATTTTTCAAATTTTTGAGTGATGTTTATTTTTGCCTTTGTTTCTTCCTTGTTTTCTTAGGTTTCCGTCGTTCTTCCCCTGCTAAGGATTATTCTGGCCTCCCGATAAAATCCTCTCTGACAACTCGAAACACTATTGAGTCATCTTATATGCCTGGTGCTACTAGTGAGCGTCCAGCTGTCCTACGTTTAATCTATCATCTTGTCAACCTTTCGCCTCATTTAATTCCACCGAGTTTAATACATGCTATCGCTGCACCTTGTCTAGATGCTTTGAATTACACAATAATGAGTCCAGATGATAAACGTGGTTTTAGAGGAGGAGGAGGTGGTGGTGGCGGGGGTAGGGGTCATGCGTGTGTTGTAACAGGTGGACTCCGACGTCGTACCTCTCCCACCGGTATCATTCACTATCCACTTTGTACTGCTGGTGATTTGCCAGGAATTGGAATGAAGTTAAACGATACTAACTATGATACAGAGGTGGATACGACAACCATTCGTAGTTGTTTATTAATTCTGTCTGAATTGGGTATGTGTATTTTGATTTGAAAGCTTGTAAATATATGTCTTCTCAAGATAATATATATATATATATATATATATATATATATATATATATATATATATATATATATACCTGTAACAACTTAATCATCATTCGTTAGCATGAGGTTTCTTTGCTAAAACGCACTGATCAAGACACTCTTTTCGAACTTATGCAGCAAGGTAAGAGCCTACGGAGAGTTGTCATCTGAAGTAATAGCATGCAATGTTGTCCGTCAGCCATACTCACTGTCTCCATTCCTGTTTAATTTCATCGTAGATGTACTAATAGAGTTAACCCTAAGTGAAATTTGGCATTCGCCAACCAATGTACGCCATCTCTTGTGGCTTAGTAGACGTGATATCCAGCTGTCTGCCTGGTTGTCGACCAAAGGACGCACGTGTGTGCTGCACAACAGAAACAACAATTCGCTCCGTCCTCTATTATGAATGGCTGGTTGTAAGTGAAACATGCCATCCATTAATGAGAGTAGGAGACATCAGTAGTTCTCTGCGTTCTGTCTACATCCTACGTTAGGTTAGGTAGTAGGTGTAATAGGATGATTAATGTTGACTTGGTGAGACATAGGTGGAGTGCTGTGCTAGGTAAGGAGGAGAGAAAACTTATCTATTGGCGAGGTTGTGAAGCAGCTACATGGACTGTGTGAGATGGTTGGGGCATACGTTATGTATGCATCCCTAGCCATCCATCCACCCATCCATCAGTCGCCTTCCGCTACTGACGGGCAGTGTTAGCTTAGTTGACATTGAATGGATGAGTTTGGGAGAGAGGTAGCTAGCTAGCTAGCACGGTGGTGGTCAGACGAAAACATGGCTGGTTTCACCACTCAGCGAAACCCACAACAACAGTTAGTTTAAGCCAGCTAGCCAGCCAGACACGTATGTAGGTGTAGATTTCCTGAAAATCTGGTTGGGATTATCGGGACGTTAAGAAATAATGAAGGCTGAAGACAATTTGTGGGAATGTGGCTGGCTCCAGATCCTCGTTGTCAGTGATGGCATAAATACACCACAATTACTTTTCTGCACGCAAAACAAACAATAGATATAGTTGAAAAAATCATAATAATAATAGGCTTTATTCTGAACAGTATTTATTTAATCCACAGAATCTTCAGCCCAGTGTATTGCATGATATTTACTCTTCGTCCCACGATCTCCAAATAAAAAAGACTAATTGACTGACAGTAGATCGTGAAACAGAGATCAATCTTTCTGAAGCACACACCAATCCATCATTATCATATTTCTCCTATTTTCTCTTTCGAGAAATACACGACGACATTTTATTGAATGTGAATTATATAAAATGTTATCAGGAGGATATTTTGGTGAACTGAGGAGAACACCACACTGAGGAGGAACGATCATCTCATGTATTGAGATAGTTATACCATCCATGAAGGAAACTTGTGAATCATCAGGTTGTAGACGTTTCAGTTACTTGTTAGAGTAAACAAACACTATTAGAGTTGATATTTTATCAGACTTGCCCAGGGTGAATGAGATAGATTGTATGGAATACATACTGACTGAGGTTTTCAGTAGCCTAAGTTCTAAGCATTCCGCCATGACCAGGATGTTGATTAAAACAAAGTAATCTATATGATCAATACATAACACTATGAACCTACCTATGCTCGGAGACCATTCAGTCACTGTTACACGACTGTTGTCGGTTACAATGTCCCTTTTGATACACTGTTTTTATATACAGCTCTGATTAGAAGTTTTCATAATATTTTCTATAATGTCTTTATTTTTTCCTCAGTTCATAGGTAACTGACACAAAAACAAAAATTACTTTTTTTTGTAGTGATTTTAGCTCCGGAACGTTTGACAGTTGACACCAGCTCATCTTTTGTCCGTCATTCAAAGATCAAGTCGCCTGCGTATTGCTTCCACCAAGAAAATGCTTCTACTGCACCTGGCAGTAATAATAATAATGCGACAAAAGAACCCCTTCCAGTTGTTGGTAGAACTATTATTCATGCGTTAATGTCAACCTTCGCGTATACAAGTACAATGTACACATATCATTCTTCACGTATTCACGAGGCTGTAATGCTTACTCTCATTACAATCCTGAATCGTTCAGATTATGCTCAATTTCTACCCAATAGGGTTATATCGGTGAGATATTGTTTTTTTGTATTTATATAGTGTTTGTGAATTTGTTCCCTTGCTTGGGTGTATCGTAATTACTGTTAGGTGTGGATATGTATGTCATCAACCAGATAGCTTTTGAAACATTTATTTCCCGATACAAATTTAAAACAAGCAACCAAATGTGTTGTGGCTAAAGCAGGATTTCATGAATTAATCGAATTTCTGTAGAACTGTGATGAGAGCTGTCTGCTGGCTAAAGTCGGTAGACAGTAATTTTACCTCAATGTTTACGTCCCCAATATTGGTTGTGAGAAAAATAAGAACAAAGACTGATTCACCAACCAACCACAGCAGACTTTGCGTAGGCTGATACAGTTAGCGTATAAATGATCTGACATTCAAGAAACAGTCACAAAGAGATGAAAGATTAACTTTCAGTGAGAAACAACCAACCAGAAGACTGTTTGTTTGCTTACAATAATCTATAATAATGTACATGAAAATCTATAAATATCTGTTGATTTCCTAAATAAACGATCTGTTGCCTGACTCTTGCCTTCTGTTGTTACACAACTACTCTTCCTAAAAAGGATGGATACTCTACATACAGGGATATGAAATTAAGATAAAATGCATATGGTTCGGCTACATCGATTAAATAAACAATTAGTTAGTTATTAATCAGAACTTATTATGCTGCAAAACTCGTCTTCCGTAGCACCAACCACCAAGAAGCGGGTGATTCAACAATCTGGGAAATTCCGGTCGCGCCATTCCTCGACAATTCAAACAGCTTTTATCACTTTTTTGAGTATCTTGGCCACGTTAAACTTTGAGCACCACTAACTACCAGTGGAGTGCAACCGCACCGATGACCTTGAAACGCTCACTGAGAAAGTTGGTGAAACCTAGCAAATAATGCTTTCATCATCAGTAAAATATGCTTATCGAAGCGTTATGCTATTAGATGGGATATTTGGCAAGTTTCAGCTTAGGTTTGGGAAAGATTAAGTTACGGTTTAAACCATGGAAAAGTTAGATTTAGACTAACCTAATAAAGGCGACATTAGGGTTGGTTAGAGTTAGATTATAGTTAGTTCTTATAACTCCGTTACCACTTTGTTATAACTGAAGTGAAGTAAATAAATCCGTCGCTACTTTGTTATGTCTGCACCTGTTAATTACTATAACGGTAATCAACTTGACTGGTACGCTAATAGGCACATTTGTCCGTTTTACCTTCCGATTCACTAAGTCACGAAAATATCAAAAGACAAAGGCTGGTCTGTGACTGTAAGATATTGTATTATACTATACTTTGTAGTTTAAGTAACAACACATGATATCTATACATTTTCTTTACCATAATAAAGTCGGCTAACAACCGTGAGAATGGATTGATCTTATTTAATGAAAATTTCTATTCTCATTGGTTGACGATCCGACAAAGACGAAGGTGAGACAAAGGACGATGAATATATGTCACACACTAAATCCCAATATATACGTGACAAATGATACATTCACATAGTAACTCCATCACAAGATAAGTCACATGATTCGTGAGAAAAGATGATATACTATTTTATGCTGTGTCCATTCATTAGTTAAGGTCTATTTTCACGTTAGGCTTAGGTTCGTGCAACATCAGAGTTATTGTCAGGGTCATGGTGTGACTTTATCAAAATAAATCTTACCCACAGTGGAATCATACCCTGTTGATACTCCCGCCTAAAACTGAGAGCTACTTTTATCACATGGGAGAGGAAGGTAGCTTCTGTAACACTTTTCTACAGTTTCATGCCTTTTTTTCATAAATATATGTATTCCCTGCACAAAAATGCCTCCTTCACGTGATTGGTGCGTTCGAGGTCATTTGCTGATTTCTAGTTAGTGGTGCTTAAATTTTAACTTTGCCAGTATCTCTATGGGAGAAAATACATAAGTGATAGAAAAAGGCGATTTTCTACTCACATGATGAAGCATTCGTCAATTTGGTTGATAAAAGGCTGAAGTTCAAAATGCTTTAAAGTTCAATAACACATCTTCTTGTGGACCACGGACATGATATTGACACACTGTCAAGTCATTTACTGTTGTTAGCAGACAAACAAACAGAAAGACGGTTGCAATTGCGGAAGAGGCTTGTTCAATTAAAGTTTACAAACCGGATATCTGTGTATAGAAGGAAATGGTGGTCACTCATTAACTATTATTATTATTATTATTATATTCTACCTCTTATTATAACTATTTCTGATTTATTTAAAACTATCTTTTATCGATACCATTATCTTAACTGGTGTGTCGGTGGCATAGCGGTTAGGACACTTGCCGACCATGCACATGGTCCGGGATTCGATTCCTGGCCGACGCACTCCTTTATCTCGCTAAGCCAGAAATAATTCTGGTAAAGAGGAAAGGTTTGGGCATGAGGCTGGCAATCCCATCCTGTAAAATAACCACCAATGCTACAGAAACTTCAAGCCATTAGCTTGAAGCCCTATGTTCCATTAAGAACGTGAAGGAAAAAAATTATCTTAATTCATTTTCATACTTTTATTCTCTGATGACAAATTGTTTATTTAAGTGATGTAGCTGAACCGTATAATGCATTTTATCTTAATTTTATATGCCTGTACGTAGAGTATGCATCCAGCTGAGGAAGGGTTCTTCTGCAGAAATTTGATGAATTCATGAATTCCTACTTTAGTCACAGCATATTTTGTTGCTTGTTTTAAACTACGTAGCTGTACATTCGTGTATTTATGTGGTAAATGGATAAGAACGTTCCACAACTCTCTTTCCTCTAGGTCAAGGGTCAATTTAATAAAATTACGAAGTGTAATAAACAGGAAGATCGGATAAAGAGGCAAACATAGTAAGGTCATAATTACTGAGAGATTAACTTTTTTGTGTGCGATTAAGGATTAAAAGTGTAGTAAAATGCCAAAGTAGGTAGGAGGTTTGGACAAAAAACATAAAAATAACAGAAATAAACAGGAAGATTAGAAGAGAAAGGTAATAGGATAATCATTATTGATAGGACTGGGTTTTTATGATGGCCATAATAGGGACAACGGTTGGGGGGACGTATTTCTTTTGAATACATAGCTCTGTGGGCTTGAAATTTTGGATCGCTAGTGTCTCAGCTATTCCCAACCAAATTGTCTTGATTTCACTCCCTCTCTTTGCAAAAGAGGTTTGATGCGATCTTGTATATGACTTTGAAGGACTTTTCATCAAATGGAGCTGGCTGTTTGAATTCACCAGATGTTTTGTTCTATCACTGAACTTTCTACACCCTTGCATTCTTCCTTTTTCTAGCCAGTCCGACTGGATAGTGTTCCTGAGAGTATTTTACAAGCAGACGTATTGTACAACCAGTGTACTCACTTGGCTTCCCTAAATTACACAAGCAAAACGTCCTACTCTGCGAAATATTAGACATGACAAAATTCTCGATATCACTCAATCTCGAAGTGTCTAGTAGAGATTCTTGGATCGGTGAAGGAAAAGTTGTCAATATACAACCTCTGGGACATCTTCAATTTTATTGAGTTATTTATGAATGTCAACTTGGCAGATAAGCAAATGGTCTTACCAACATCCCGCTGACAGAAACTATATGCTTTCTCTGTGACTTATTTCAGTCAAATAGCATGAATGTCGGTATACCAATCCATTATATTAAGGAGCTGTTACTACAACACACTTTCATCGTTTACTTTTTTAGATTCAACAACAAAAAAATACAGGCAAATTGTGATGGAGTAGCAATGGATTCTCCTCCATGAGCTACCCTCCTTGGCCGATTGATTTATTACTAGACTAGAAAACATTTCCTTATCTTCAACTGCCGATGAGCTCCATCTCCACAAGAAGAGATACATTGATGATACACTTTCATTATTTGTGGTGAGAATTTGCATCTCACAAACCCACTTACTGCAAACCTTCAATAATACCCACCCTTTGAACATCGACTTCACTCTGATTCGATGTTTCATTTCGTCCTCGATGTTCAACTGCAAAGATATGCTGACAACTTGTTGAGAAGATTCATCTTTCTACGAAAAACCCACATGGAAGGGACAGTTTACCCACTTTTTTTAGAGTTGTATTCCTCTAAACAGAAAAGAGACCACTCATATACTCTTTTTGACAACATTATGTATGTATAGTAGATACATATTTCGACAACCCTCCATATAATATGTGAGTCATGAGCATATAAGGTAAATGTGAAGAAGAAGTAGATGACAAACCAATTATTTGTTATATAATGAGATGTGGCGTGGTTCGAAAATTCTTTCACACTAGTCGAATAGGATACAACAAATTATTTTACTACTAGTGTGTCAGCCCGGCAGGTAACTGCGCTACCTTGCCGTGGTGGTAGGGCTTACCTACCACGCTGACCCGAAAAGCTACACGGGCTGGGTGGACACTTATGTTCCTACAGGTCGAATCATACCAGAAAGGGTTTTTTGTGGATAATGGTTAAACTGTGAGGTACATGGACTCCAGAACCCAAACAGACCGACAACTATTGGAAACGTAGCTAGTTCTTGGCGCAGCTGTCGTCTGATGTCTTGTGGATGAGACGCCAAGTCCATTAGCTTGGAGGGATGGTTGGTCCTACCACCTACTTCAATCTGAAAGCCTGTCCAATAATCCCAGCCCTTGGCACTAACAATGAAATGAAATAATAAAAATGGAGTGCATATAGAAGACACCTTCAATTGTAGGTCAGTCAGCTGTTCCAATCTTCAATGTCTATCTAGTACAACTATTTAGGATTTTTTCGTAGTCCTAGAAAGGAAATGGACAATTCATGTTGTATGTTTTGTTCTTTCTTGTCACGCAGTGTTCAGTATTATTATTATTATTATTATTCTGTATTTCAGAAATTTTTTGTCGCCTATACATCTACATCGCATTCATTGTTACATCGAAAATCCTCGTTTGACACGTGAGTTTATGCATGCATCTATACATGTTTTATGTAGAAATTCTTCTGGTATAACAGAAGTTATAAAATTTAATTGCTAAGATTTATTCACCTACAGAGAATTGTGGGATATACTTAGTCAAATAGGGGAGTCGGATTGACTTACTAACTGGTTTCAAGATCATAGATTTTTGCACAGATGTGCAGCCGCATTTCGAGTTCCCACTCTCAATGCTTCATATAGTACACAAAGCAAGAAAAGAAAGATTATAAAGAGAGATTCAAAAGGCGAATAATAAACATAAGTCTGAGGCGAAAAAATCACAAAGAGTGAATTCATCTGAGGCATCACTAAAAATGATTTTGAGCCAGCCGTATTAGCAATTGTCTCTAGATGTCATTGGTTCTTACCATCATCCCTAGGACTCCAAACAGCCAGTCAGGAAGTCAGTTTACACCTCGTTACAAGGCTGGCTGACTGGTCTAAACTAACTGTTGTTGTAGGCTTCATTGAATGATGAAACCAGCCATGTTTTCGTTTGACCACTACCATGTGCTGTGCAGCTACCTATCCCTCTTCCAACCTCATCCATCCATCCAACCTATGTCAGCTAAGCTAACACTGCCTGTCAGTCGAGGAAGGCGATCGATGGATGGGTGGCTAGGGATGCACGCGTGACGCATGCACTAACCATCTCACTCAATCTATATAACTGTTTCACAATCTCATCAACAGATTGATTCTCCATCCTCCTTACCTAGCACAACACTCCACCTATGTCTCACCAAGTCAATATTAATCACCCTATTACACCTAAAACCTAACATAACATGAGATATAGACAGTACGCAGACAACACCTATTATAAAAGACAGTCAGTCGGCCGTCCTTTCCATGTCTCTTACTCTCATCGATGGCTGTCATGTCTCACTCACGCACAGCCAGACAGCCAGCCGTAAAGGGGGACGGACGAAAGTGCTGCTGGTGTTTCTGCTGTGCAGTACACACGTATGTCTGTCTGGATTCAACATAGAACTTGGCACCGAAGTGCAGCAATTCGAGTATACACGTATGTCTCTTGGTCGACAGCCAGCCGGATATTACATCTACCAAGGCATAGATAGCATAGTTGAGTTCGCTAGTTTGTTTCCATAGTTTTTTGCTGCTAATTCATTCTCGCTGGCCACCTATTCTTCATTAGGGATACAGCGAAGAAACCACCTGTGGTTAAAAGTCTACAGTAATCTGTTAGAAATGCTTTACGTGACGCGTGAGTCATGATTCTCACCTACATAGGAGAAGTGACTGACTCACTGACTGACTTAACATCTGTGGTGAAATTCCGAATCTTGTTGTTTAAGGTGAGACGGAGTGCAGAAGATTTCTGAAAAGTGATTTCTGAGTGATGAAGATGAAGCTCTCCTTTCCAATCCTGACTGGCTTCGACATCTTCATCCATTCCGCCTATCTGTCTATCTGTCTGTCTGTAGTTGAGACGATCCTGGCTGGTTAGATAAGTGAAGGCACGAAGTAGCCTCTTTTAAGCTTCTTCCGTTGATGGTGATTGGTTCTGGTCGTTGTTGTTGTTGCTTTCATTGGTTGGGTTAGTCGGTTGGGTATCTTCATCACCTGTGTCTTCTCTATGTCCACCTGGATTCCTGTCGTCACTGCCTGGCAGCGTCTTCGGTGAGTTTGTTGGTTTTCGCTTGTAAGTCTTCGAGTTGGCATGACATGAGACATAAATCATCGAAACTGTATTCCAGTGTTCACTGAATGTTGCATAGACATATTAATAATGTCATTTTTTCACGTGTATGGTAAAAATCACGCTGAATTCATAGAACTTACTTGTTCTTTCTTTATCTTTTTCTCTTCCGTGAAAATAAAACTCGCAGTTATCCGTCATTTACACTCTGTGCTAGAAATGCGCTTATCTTGATGTTTCGTTCATGGCCAGGTAGGCATGTTTTTTCTCTTTACATACACTTCTTTCATATGATTGCGATTACATATATCTCTGTGAATGGTCTTTTGTTCATTTTTTTTCTCGTGGTGTGTGTGTTTGTGTTTCACTCCTACGCCTATGACAAGGCGTCCTGCTGCCTGTCTTGTGTTTATAACGGACAGAGTGAGGATCATGTGTGTATTATTCTGAAGACTACCAGTCACCCTACCTTCAGCACCTGAGTGTCGTAGTGTTGTTTGGACACAGAATCCCTAGTGGAAAGGGAAAATATACACAACTAGGTAGTTACTTGAATGGGTCCTAGTAGGAAGCCATGGCCATTGCGATAAAGCAGATCAGGAGTGTGAGGACAAATACTTGCCACTAATGACATTGCCTGGTGCCAAGTTGTGGGGGTATATTGTACGTGAATTGTCAGAAGTTGGAATTCATAGGCTGGTCATTGGATCCGTCGGGTCCCAGTGACTGATGAATGGTCTACGAGCTAGCTTACCTTGTGTAACCGGAAAGTGGTCCTAGACTCGAGCCGTGACTGTGGGTGGTTGCATACTTCTTAAGGGAAGTCCCAAGAGGTAAGCGGATGAAACAGCTGCCCAGTATAATACTTCCTACTGGTTTTTCAATGGTTGGTTCTCTAACCAATATCAGCTCATGATGAAATCATATAAATTGAAAGGAGCTCTGAGAATGGAAACTATCATTGTTGTGAACGATGAATTATAGTTCTCATCTGTATCTTTCTAGCATTTATTTTCTAATGACTGGCAGTTTAATTTGAAATATAGGAATTCCTAGTCTACATATTAGGTAGTTGTGTTGCGACAGTGTTTCCTCGTTAGGCTTTTCAGTTTTTAAATTTTTTTAAGGGATATATTTTTTTTACCAAACTTGTCATACGTTTTACTATGATTTTCTCTATCTTGTATACCCCTGCACTCGACTTGTTCTAATTCCTAACCCTAATGCCGGTCACCATCAATTGGAAGATTGGTGTACTGGTCAAGGCAGACTACGCAGTCAAATGACCTTTAACCACCTACCATTACGAATCGACGCTTTTCACTTAATCTTCATTGGAAGTTTCAGCCTGATTCAGGAATAAGGCTAGGGTGAGATTAAGGTAGGATTATGATTAAGGTTGGTGTGAATCTCCCAACGAAGATTACAGCTAGAGTGAAACTTGCAACGGAGATTAGGTTTACAGTGAAAATTGGGGTTATCTTATCTCTAACGTTAGACTGCAGAATGTGATGCGTAGTAAGGTGGATGCTTGAAATATCTTCTTCAGACATTTAGATAGGCAGTTTTGTTAGAATTTCTGATTTGTTTCACCTCTGGATTCTAGGTTCATAATGGTAGTTTTCTGAGGAACAGTTCCAATTTCCGTCGACGGAGGCTTTACTTCATGTTCTTGTCTGTAAATCTCGGTGGATACCCGTTCTCCTCCAGTAGGGTTTCATGTAATGATTTTGATTTATTCTCGTGTATCCCGAACACATTTTTGTAGTCCTTGAGTATAGTGTATGTATTGAGTGTTACTTTCGGGTCAGTGTGGTTTGCGATATATTGCTCTTTGAATCTCAGGGGGGGGGCGAATCTTATTGATGCGTATGCCGCGTTGAAAGTTTTGAAGAGGAAGTCTGAATCGAATTTTTCCTCACAAATTATATAAAAGAATCATCTACGACGTATTTCTTGTATAGGAGCAACAGTTGACTGTTCGAAAGGCTTGAGGATGTTGTTTTCAGGACTCACCCTATGAAGTTTTCAGCTGAGAGTGGGCTAAAAGGAGGTCGACCTCATAGCTACATCATCTTTCTTTACGTAGAATTGTTCATTAAATTTGAATGGGATGTTAAACGTACATCCGAGAAGTAGTTCCTTCAGGTAATTGATGAGAAGAAAAACTCTTCTAACTTTCTAGTTTCGATGTCTCAGTCAGGAAGGATGCTTGTGAATAGAGAAGTGACATCTAGTGAAAGAATTTGTCTTTCAAACACATTTGCATATCTTTTAATGAAGTGAAATGTATCACGAAGGCTATACTTTATCCTTACCGATTCAAGGATATTTGCTAGCCGATGATTTAGTGAGATGACTTTATCTGTAATAAGTCGAAGTGGGACATCCTTCTGAAGCGGTGCATCGATAAGAAAAAGAATCTCCACCAGAATCACATTTACTCTAATTCGAAGACATTCAAACGTCATTATTATTATTATATTATTATTGTATCCTTTAGTTCCTAGAGGAACATAGGGCTTCAGCTGCGCACCTCCATTGACTTCGGTTTTTTGACAACTTTTTCAACCTGCTCCAGGTCTGCCCACATGCTTTCATCTCCTCTTCACATGACCTCCTCCAAGTCACCCTTGGACGACCAACTCGCCGCCTCCCTTTCGGGTTCCACTCGAGGGCTTGTCTAGTGATGTCACTTGTTGGTTTCCTCAGCGTATGGCCAATCCATCTCCATTTCTTTCTGCCTATTTGTTTCACAATCGGTTCCTGATTGGTTCGCTCCCAGAGATCCCTGTTGCTGATCTTTTCTGGCCATCTGATCTTGAGTATTGAGCGGAGACAGTTGTTAATGAAGGTTTGAAGTTTGTTTGAGATGCTCTTTATGACTCGCCAAGTCTCTGATCCGTATAGTAGCACTGACTTCACATTGGAGTTGAAAATCCGGATCTTATTTTTGATGCTGAATGCTGTTGACCTCCACACAGATTTGAGAGTAATGAAAGCTTGTCTTGCTTTTCCGATTCTGGCTTTGATGTCCTCGTCAGTTCCGCCTGTAGTTGAGACGATGCTTCCCAGGTAGGTGAAGGAGGTTGTTTCTTTCTTTCTTTCAAACGTCATACAACATTAATAATGTCGATGCCATCCACTCACATTTACCTTAACTTGAAGACAAAATATCATAAAGAAGCCACCCTTACTTGGTTAAAGCTGTCTGATGAGGGACGAAAAACGTTTCAGCACATTATGTGTCCAGTGTCATACAAAAAACGTTGCAATGGTAATACTTCCCGACTAACAAAAAGTCTGAAGCCATCTGATACAACTGTCTCATCATTTCTACAGAATCCGTATAAATATGTATTCAACTGTCCAAATTTTCCTTTCAGTCCCATCCAAACCTGAAGTCCTATCATCACTCTGTCTGATATTTTACAACAAATTACAAACCAAAATTCAGCAAGAGAATGTAATCTCGCAGACATCTGATTAGTGTTACCTACTTGTGTTCTGAAAAAGATCGCAAACAGTTCAAAACTTCAATTTTCTATAGCCTCTCTACAAGTAAATGCATGCACGACCTAGCCATCGTTATCTACTGACCCCAAGCAACATAGATAACGACTTCAAGTAAACAAATACATAAATCCTCATCGTCCTGAAAAGGGTGATGGGGGATTGTGGTACTGAACAGATCACACTATATCGTGAAAAACTAACAAACGTAATCTCAGACAACACCAAATTTCTGGAATCACCCAACGAGAAAGATATATAACGGAATGCACAGAAAACGTCTTCCTTCTAAAATTACTGAAGAAAATGAAAGATTTCTATTGAAGTGTTGGTTTGCAGGGATTTGATTTGATTGGTTACAGGATTTCATCACGAGCGGCTGACATCGGTTACAGTACACCATTAAAAAGCCTGGGAGTACTGGATAGCTGTTTCGACTGTCTAGTTTGTGTTCGCTCGTCAACAGCATGCACCCACACACAGCCAGGGTTCAAACCAACGACCATCTTCCGGTTATACAAGGCGACCTCGTAAACCATTAAGGCACTTAGATCCTATTCAATGTCCAAGCCATGAGTCCCCACTTTTGCGAGTTCTCAATCACTTAATGGTTTATCAGCTTGCTAGCCTTGTATAACCGGGAGGTAGTCCTGGGTTCGAACCCCTGGCTATGGGTGGGTGCGTACTGGCGACTAGCGAACCCAAACTGGACAGTCGAAACAGCTATCCAGTACTTCCAGGTTTTTATTGATGTTCTGTGACCGCTGTCGGCTGCTCATGAAATTCTGTAACCAGTCAAATCTCTGCAAACCAACACTTGAATACTAATCTGATGCCCTCTAGTAAGTGACTCCATTCAGATGGGTAGTTACTCGGGTTCTGGTGAGAAACCTTGACCAGTGGTGTACAGCCGGTGATTGCCACCGATGACATTGGTTGGTCGTCACGCTATATCGTGAATTGTCAGAAGTTGAAATTCATGCGCTGGCTATTAGGTCGGGTCTGTCTGTCTGTTTTCGACATAGAACTTTGCACAAGTGTGCGGAAGTTCAAGTCGCCACATTCCGTGTAGCACGCGAAGCAAGAGAAGAAAGTACAAGAAAAGCATAATAGAAACAGTGAGCAGAGGTGTGAGACAAAGGAGTAATAAAGAAATACAAAACAGTTTCATTGAAGATCATAAGTCACAGGGAGTGGATGCATCTGCGCCACTGAAAACGGTTTTGAGCCATGTCACCAATTGTTTCCAACCATAGATTTTTACCGTCCCGAGGACCCCAGCCTGGAAGTCTACACCTTTCTACGTGGCTTAGACCAACTGTTGTGGATTTCATTGACTGATGCCAAGTTTTTGTTTGACCGCCGCTAGTATTAGGTCGGGTCCCAGTGAGTGACTTAATGGTCTATGAGCTCGCCTTGTAACCGAAAGAAGATTCAATTATAACTTTTGAGACGTATGAACAAATAAGACCATGTAGTTCACTTATTCCAATTGGTAGTTCCTTCAGAGGTATCAGCTGATGTTAATTAACCCCAAGAAATTCTTTTTGACTCACATCAACTGTGTAACTTTGATTTCAGTTTACACACCCCTCCGCCTATTTTCAACGTTTTCTTTGTCAAATATAGGCATTTTCCATTTTACACGTGATGGCGTATCAAATTTGAAGACGCTATTATATACCTTGGCTGTAGGCAGTACAGAAAACAGAGTAAGTTACCTGTATTTTCGTATATATATTGAAGTAAAGGAATGCATTTTTCCAAAATAACTCCTCTTGTTTGTTTATCTTTGTTGAATATCTATTCATTCATTTATTCACTAGAATCAAATCCTGGATTTACTGTATAGTTTATTTCCAACAATTCCTGTACCTCATCCATCTGTGAAAGACATGGAACCGACTATTTTGGGTCTAATCGAAGCTTTGTCTACTGGATCATCGTCTCTACTACCTGTGATGTATGCGCCAAATTCGAATTCACGGAAGAAGACGAACATTTTCACAACTGCCGCTGCTGCTGATGAAATGTCATCCCTGCCGAAATCACGACGTTTTGTATCTTCGATCTTGCCGGTGAGACGACCGTCATCATCATCGAATACTTGGGATATTGACGGCGGTTTCATCGCTGCTGAAGGTTGTCGTCTATTTTCTAAGTATGATTCAATTGGATTCGATGTCATGAATAATTATTATGCTCTTTTGTTGGCTATATTGATTCAAGCGGGGCTATATGAAGTAAGTCAACGTTGTGTTGTCGTGTCTGTATATAAGGCGTACTGATCGATGGATTCGTATACCCACGTATTCATTTGTTAACCACATAAGACTATCAGAGTAGCATGCCATTATCATTATTATTTTTCCTACTTTTATACCCTTGGGTTCCGAGTGGAACATAGGCCTTTAACAGCAGCCCATCTCCACTTTGTCGTATTCTCTGCGGTCCTCTTTACCTAGCCTCACGATTCCCTATGGTCCCTCATGTCTTGTTCTACTCTAATATCTTTTAGATTCAGCATTCATAACACATAATACACAACATTTTTACCAAACAAGTGGCAGTGATATTTTTGTTAACAATAATTAGTCAGTATCAACATGGCGAACGGTGGGGGTGATGATTAACGGAGAAAATTAACAGACACACAATTAAAGAGTAGAAATGGTTGCAACAGGTGGATTGCATAATGAACAATTTCAGAAAAATGAAGAGTAATTAAAGAGTGGACGAGTGTTCAGGTTGATTACATAACAGGGAGTTAAAGAAAAATCAAACAAATCTAGACAATGATAACTTGTAATTACAGATGAAGTAGTCAGAAAAAATAAAATTATCTGGACAATTACAATTCCAAAAAGCCCTAGGGGTAGGGCGAAGTTGTCAGTTTTCTACATTCATGTAACAATAATCAAGTTAAGGAGGAATGTGGCTGTACGTATTTCCTTTGAACACACACACACACACACAGGTTTGGCTTCTCCAGGTGGATTCCAGTGACTTCAGCTGTAGTGTGTAGAGAAAGAACTCATAAAGCAAAATTAAAATTAGTTTGAATGTGATAAATAACTTGTAACGCTGTATTAACATCGACTTCACTGTGAATGTCTACAAGGTGCTCTAAAATAGAGAGCTACGAATAGATCTTGTCTGTCCTTTGCTTAACCACTGTGCGGGATGATGTTCAGAGATCTGTTGATGATGATGAATCTGCCTATTTGTACACTCAGTGTAGGTAGCTGGCTCGACAGCGACAATCAAACTGGTAGATACAAACAGCGGACGAGGTGAACTTAGATAGTTTGTCCTTATTTCTCGAACGTAAAATAGGTGGGTTAGTGGAGGGACAAAGTGCCCTTTCTGCTGCATTGGAAGCTTTTTTAACTTCATTCTTCAGGTGCTCTCTGTGTTACTAATTCGCTGATGTTATATTCCCGGGGAGCTGCAGCTGATAATCCTAAGTCCCCCCTTTCATTTAGTGAGGGAGTCGTTTGAGCAGATTATCCTAGCTCTATGAACTAGACACTACGAATTTGTGTTTATTTATTTCAAAGGTGTGAAACTCAGACAGTGAATGTACTGAACCGTTTTTGCAGGTTTCTCCTATACAGACACTCTTTATGGTACACTTCCCTTTCCTTATCAGGAAGACGTTTATTGCTGAATGCGCATCATTGAACTTGTCGAGGATGTTCGTTAATTTATTCCCGTTTTTAATATTCAGAGGTGTATCATCCATTTATATATATATATATATGGACAGTAGAATTCCAACCCATTAGTTACTCATTTCAGTGGTCCATTTTCTAACTTAGCGAGGAAGATGTTGGCTAGGATAAGACCTAATGTGCGACCCATAGCCTTACCATCAATTTGTCTATAGTATTTCTGGTTGAACGTGAAATAAACATCCATTCTACATCTTAAGCTCCGTTGTGTGGTGCATCCTTCTTGGTGCCATATTGTACCAAGTTTTTATGCGTTTAAATAAATAATAAAATTAGGCTCCGTCATGAAGGTTGCAGAAATGCCAATGTCTAAATGGGGATATATTCTTGTAAAATCAGCCTGGACTTTCAGTCATTCTACTCGCCATACGGTATTTATATACATTCAGATTGAGTAGGCAACTCTATTGAAATGTAGTCAATAACTACCCCGAAATCGATTGAGTTTTTTCTGCCACTGAACTCGTTTTCACCATCACAACAAGGACAAGAACAACAACACCACAGGGTATAATTAGTCCAAAAAAGTAATATTTCACCATAAAAAGACAAGAATATGCTGAACCGATGAGAAGACTCTAGAAGACCTACATTTCACCGGGATAATTTATGTTTCACGTCAAACAAACTCGAAGACTTACAAGCGAAAACCAACAAACTCACCGAAGACGCTGCCAGGCAGTGATGACAGGAATCCAGGTGGACATAGAGAAGACACAGGTGATGAAGATACCCAACCGACTAACCAACCAATGAAAGCAACAACAACGACCAGAACCAATCACCATCAACGGAAGAAGCTTAAAAGAGGCTACTTCGTGCCTTCACTTATCTAACCAGCCAGAATCGTCTCAACTACAGACAGACAGATAGACAGATAGGCGGAATGGATGAAGATGTCGAAGCCAGTCAGGATTGGAAAGGAGAGCTTCATCTTCATCACTCAGAAATCACTTTTCAGAAATCTTCTGCACTCCGTCTCACCTTAAACAACAAGATTCGGAATTTCACCACAGATGTTAAGTCAGTCAGTGAGTCAGTCACTTCTCCTATGTAGGTGAGAATCATGACTCACGCGTCACGTAAAGCATTTCTAACAGATTACTGTAGACTTTTAACCACAGGTGGTTTCTTCGCTGTATCCCTAATGAAGAATAGGTGGCCAGCGAGAATGAATTAGCAGCAGAAAACTATGGAAACAAACCATCCAACAAAAAACCTATTGCTCAGCGAATATGTGGAGATGGATCAAGCACGCGCCACTGAGGAGGAGACGGTCCGTTGACATCCTGTGGCAAACCCCTGAGTGGAACCCAAGTGATAAACATCTAATGTGCGGTGTGTTCGAGGGTGACATGAAGTTGATCATATAGTGAGGATGACAACGGAAAGTAGGGCAGAGTGGTGGCGTGAAAGCTGATTTTCCACTTGGAACCCAAAGGAAATATTAATAATAGGTCGATTGTAATCACTACAGGCAGATCATGATATCATGGATTGAAGATGAATATCCTTAAATGAAGAAATCCACTTTTAGTAAGACAATATTATCATGTCTGTTTCGCCTATTTTGATGTTCAAGAAAAAAGTGCTTTAGGGTGTCCAATGTTTTTAGATTAATATTTATACACATTTTAGAAAAAATAAATGTTTTAAACGAGTGGTTTGCTTCACTATCTTCACACCTCATTGTCTATTGTATTCTGTCCACACTTTGTAAAAATGAAAAGTGATGCTTGATTTCTAACTCTTATTTAAACAGAAGTGCCAAATATGTTCGGTGTGCCTTCTTTAATTTCAACATATCTGCCTTTGACTCCATACCTTGGCCTCTTTTGTTAAACAAGCTAGCTGCGACACAAGCGAGCTGTTTGACTGATAAGTGGTTGCATTCCTATTTTTTTTGATAGGAAGTAATACATTGTTTGCAATGGAAAGTCCTCCACTGCTTCACATACTCTAGCTGGTATTCCCCTCACTCAAGGTGCTGTTCTTTCTCCTATCCTGTTTTTTTTTCGACTCACATGACTTACTTGCCCCATTTCGATGAAGCCAATTTTGTTAAGCATGCGGATGATACATCTGATTTTTACTATGCCGGCGGTTACTTCTCAGTCAGACTGTCGCAAAATGTGTATAACTCTTTATCGGAAATTAGTCAGTGGTTCTTCAGCCCAAATGGTCTTAAGCTAAAATCCCTTCAAACACCAGTCAGGATGTTAATCTCGCTTTCAGACGCAAGTGCGATTTACATGAACTGGTTAGTTCTCATGGTTCCACTATCACAGCTGACACAAAACTTGTAACTAAATCGAATGTTAAATACCCTGGAGTGTATATTTCCTCTGAACCTGATTCATGTTCTTCCTACACCGTGTTAGTTTCCAGAAAGATATTTCGTTTAACTTTCTTCGTAAGGAAGTTAAGACTATCTGACATCAGCACTCAGACGGTCTCTGGTTTTTAAGTGTGTTAATTCGTGTATTCTAGCTGTCCTTCTTTACTGCTCCGCCTTCCCCCCCTCGAACTTAATCTTTCTCAGGCTGCTTAAGAAAGATTGTTTTATTTCACTTAGAAGGGCACCGATAGCTGTCGTCAGTAGTAGGGTGAGTGGTGTATTTCAAAACCAACTCGTTAATACAGTTGCAGACAGTGGGCGCGTGGACTCCTGCAAGAAGCTAGCACATATTATCTTGTCATACTCTGAGCATCATCTCCACACACAACTCTCTCTCTCTCTCTCTGAGCTTGCTGGATCTCGTTAGGTAGGTGGAATTCGATTCAACTATAGCAGACTAAGTGCTCGAAAGACTAGGTACAAAAAATCTGCAATACCTTATTTGTCAGGGACACATTTTATGAGATGAGAGGAGTATGTAAGGCGGAACACTACCAACTTACCGAAGAACTGTTAGCAGACGATCCTTTTGATTTTTTTTATATTATTATACTGTTCTTAATATTTTCACTTAATTGTATATTCATATTAATATTAAACAATACTATCACTCTTGTAAATGGCCTGTTTTAATAATTACCCGTATAATGATAAGGTTTAGATGCGATACTGTACAACCTACATGCTGAAAATTCCATAGTTGTAACTGTGATCAGTATACATACATGTGTATAATTGTAGAGCCAGAAGAGGAAATCATTGAAAAGAATATTCTTTGATCGAATTTCCTATGTGACTTCTAGATGTGTGAATGAATATTTTTTGCCATATTATTATTTTGTATCTAAATTATACATCGTTAATATTTCTTTCTTCTCTCCGTCTTACTCAAACAATTGTCTACTGTTTTTTATAGGCACTCATGCGTGCAATATCCGATTCGAATCAAGTGACGTCTATTCGTGCTGGTTATCTTCTTGGCTCATTGGCTTACAAAGTAGGTCTAGTTGAGAAGTTGAATATCCAATCTTGGTTGAAATTTTTTGAATTTATTCTGTCCTTTTGATGCAAAGTATTACTTTTATGTCAAGTGAAACAATCTCAAATATTGTTTTGGTGAAATTTGATTGGTTACAGGAGTCCAATATGAGCAGCTGACGTCGGCTAGAAAACAGCAATGGAAAAGCAGATGGGAGTACCGCAGGCATTTGTTTCTGTCGTTCTAGTTTGGGAATTTTCAACAGTACGCGCCCACCGCCGTATTTTGAACCCAGAACCTTCTGGTTATGCAAGGCGAGGTCCTGTGACTAATCGAATACCTTCAAACCAACACTTGAATATCAATCTGATGCTCACTAGAGGCTGTCCCTATTCACGTAGCTAGTTACCTAGTTGGGCCTTAGTGGGATACAGCGGGTGGGGGGTGTGAGCTCGCCTTGTATAATCGGAAGGTGGTCCTTGGTTCAAACCGTGGTGGTGTGTGACTGCGTACTGATGAGGCGGAGTCCCAAGTACTGCCCGGCCGAAGCAGCTGTCTGACAGTCCTCCTAGCTTGTTTTCAATAGTTCTCAGCTCAAGATGAAATGCCACAATCCCGATTAGTCTACCCAATTCAAATAATTATCAGTGGAGTCTATTTTTTGCCATTTGATAACTAGAAGTGGGATAACAGTCTGCAAGAAGCTTCCAATGTTTAAAGGATGCACCGATGATTTCTTTCGAGACCCTCATCTACATTTATCGCCTGCTGCAGATGCATCAAGCCATGGACTATTTTGTGAAGAAAAGGAGTTCAGCAAAGAGTTGCTCTTTTCAGTGGTATCATTCTCAAACTATAGAATCATATATATATATATATATATATATATATATATATATATATATTCCAAAGGTGTGTCATTAGGATTGTAAGTGTTTAGGATAACCGCAGAATCAATCAATGGCATTTCACACGTTAAATCCCGAACTCTGCTTGGAAAAAAGTTTGTTCAGTGTCATTAAATTTGCAATGAACCTGATCTGTCTTAATACTGGGTACGTAATTCTTGCGCTTTTTGTTTGTTTCTTAATTATATTACTTTCTGCCCACACCCCTTTCCTGTTAAATTTCTACCCTTTATTACCATACTGTTGTTAACGTGACCCCTTCACTTTTTAGTTGAATTCTACTCAATCCCGCCAATCAAATTACATCACTCAACTTATGATCTAAAATTTACACTTCTAATGAAGCGTCTTTGGAAAGAACATTCCGTTTGTTGATAAAAAAAAATTCTCTTCATAAAATTAAACGATTGTACAGCTTGAAAATGATATCGCTGATAAGATATGTAACTCTTTGCTGAACGAAAACCTTTTCTTTCATATGACTCCATAATGGGGATTTTTAAGTTATTTTGTGAAAATCTATCTGTTGTTTGTCCCCATTTGTGGTTATTATTATCATCATCTTTTCAAACTGTTCCCTTGTAGTGTTTGTTATCCTTCCTCTTATCCAGGTGGAAAGTTTGTTGCCTCATGAACATCCGGTGTGTAAGCGTCTCCATCAAGTTGGCCTTTTACGTCCTGAAACACCGGGCAGTCAGCTAGCTGTATTGTGGTTAGAACGTATACATCGTGTGATGCAGTCACATGAAGCTCGTCTTCGTGACCCCTCTAATTTCATCAGTGTACCTTACCATTCACCATTTCTGGAGTGTTTAGCCAAGCGGTCAGTTGACGCCTCCTCCTCCTCCTCTCCAGCTCGTCATTCAGCGTTCACAGACAATATGGAAGTAAGTTTTGAATTGGCGAACTATTTGCATTATTTTTCATGTTGATTTTCTAAATACTTCCGGACAGCTATTTCTTCAGCCTGGTTTGGAACTCTTCATCATTACCCACCAACCACCAGGGTTCGAACTGAGGACCTCCTTCCGGTTACAAGGCATGCTAGCTCGTTGACCATTCATCATCAGCCGTTGGGACCGGGTCCTGTGGTCAGCCAGCCAATGGACTCTAACTTTTGCCAATCCACGCGCGATATAGGGCTACTGGCACAAGCCAATATCACCGATGGCGAGTATTGATCCTCTCACCTGACTTGCTGTTTTTCATTTTCCTGCCGGCGTGTACACCTCGTCAGTTTAATTCAGTGGTAGATGCTTGCGGTCTCGGGATAAATTCCCGATCAACGCACTCCTGAATCTCTAATCATCGACTGTAAGGCAAGAAAAGAAAGAATGTTGGGCGTGAAGCTAATATCCGCCCCCTCGTAAAAACAACACACCAATGTGAAACGTTAGAGCTTGACGCCTATTTTCCTCTGAAGACGAATGCAATAAAAATTTTCTTTAATGAGACTGACTGGTTGAATTTATTTGTAAGAATAAGTCATGAATCTTGGTTGATATTTGATTGGCTACTAAGGATTATTGTCTCCAGAGTATTAGGTAAGGAGAGAAACTCAATCAATAATATATATATATATATATATATATAACTGACTGGCTTAATATCTGTGGTAAAAATCCGAATCTTGTTGTTTATTCTGCGACGGAGTTCAGAAGACTTCCAAACTGACTTCAGAGTGGTGAAGCTCTGCCTTTACTTTCCCATTCTGCTTTTAGCATCCTCATCCATACCATCTGATTGTAGGATGGACAATGCTGTCTGGATAGGTGAAGGAAGTAATTTCTTTCAAATTTACCCCGTTGATGGTGATTAGTCCTGGTTGTTGTTGTTGTTGGTGGTGTGTGCATGTCCCTCGTCATTACTTCCTTCTTCTGTATGCTTACTTGAAGTCCTTTCTTCTCCGCTTGCCAGTATCTTCAGCCAGTTTGTTGGTTTTTCGCCTGTAACATTCAAATGAACAGATGTTTCAATAAAGCTCCTAAATCCATCGCTTCAGGTTTACTTACGTACTTATATAGGTGACAGTTGCAATTAATTGTTGAACAATGTTACATACAAAATGATAATTCAAGTGTTAGTTTCCAGGGATCTGATTTGATTGGTTACACCAGAATGTTATCATGAACTGACATTGGTTAGAAGAGAACCACTGGAAAACCAGTAGGGAGTACTACCATACAGCTGTTTTCGTCGTCCCAGTTTGGGACTATTCAGCAGTACGCATTCTCACAACTAGGGTTAGAACCTAGAACATTCGAGTTATACAATGTGAGGTTTCAGACCATTCAGCTATCATTCATCATACCATTCGTCAGCCACTGGGAGTCGATCGATTCGATAGCAAGCCAGCCCATAAATTCCAATTTCTACCAGTTCGCGCATGATACGTTTTTAGTGGACGCAGAGTGGAGAGGAAGTGGAGAGCTATCAAGTCGAGGAGTTGCATCAGTGGAAGGAAGTCAAGATGATAGAGATGAAGATGAAGACAAAGATGAGTGAGGATTAGAGAGGTTTCGCGTGCGTTTCGGATTGTGAGGGCGATTGTTACTTCCCGGCTGCCCACACCGTGGAAGTTGGTTGCGTGACCGCAGAGCCCAGGGGACAACTGCTTGAGGCCGGTCACACGCGGCCTGTTTTTGTTCGTTCTTTTTTGTTTGGTGTGTCTCAGTATCAGATTTATCACTCCTGCTCTGTGACACGGCAGCAGGAAGCGCGGTCGTTGTTAATCCGGGCCACGGCCGATCCGGCATGAAATTTTGTAATTTTGTATTGGACATGATGTTGTATTGGGTAGCTGCTTTTTGTTTAACCGCTATCCAAACAACCTGCCTGGCATGGTAGTACCTCGAGAGACATAAGTCTCAGCCAGTATAGCTTGAATAGATCATTGCGGTGTTCAAGCCCGACCACCACGTCAAGGTAGCAGCTTTCGGTCGCGCATGATACAGCGCGACTGGCACGGGCTATTGTCATCGGTGGCAAGTATATGCCCTCACACCCGACCTACTGTACTCCACTACTTGTCATCACTTCCCAGTAGAACTGTTAATTTTTTTTGTATATTTCCGTATTAGAATAATTCGTTTAAACTTCTGCACTAGTCCTTTTTCCTCACAAATTATCATATTTTTACATTTTCAGCTTACGGATGCCACTCTGGACCATTTGATTGCCTCATCGAATGTGTTGTCATTCAAAGCCAAATCTCAACATGGTCGGTTTAGTCAATGTCAAATGACGACCACCTCTTGTAGTAGTAAACCCCCCGATGTTTGGGATTGGGATATTTTAACCACATTAGGTCGTCGATTAGCTGTTACACGGACAACGTTTTCTTGGGAGTCGAAGTCACGCTCCAAGTAGGTATAGTTCTGTTCTAGGGAGAGATTTATTTAAAACTCAATTTTTATGTGTGTGTTGGTGTGTTTACCTTGTGCTTATTCACGAAAAATACCTGTATCCGAGCATAGGAGAGAGTCTTTTTTGTTGGCGAATTCATTCACACTTAGTTGCACACAATCTCAATTATATATAATCATTTTTTTAAGTGTTGGTTTTCAGGGATTTGACTAGATACAGAATTTTATCATGAGTTGATGTTGGTTGGAAGAGAACGATTGAAAAACCTATAGGGAGTACAGCCAGATAGCTGTTTTGTCCGCCCAGTTGGGCACTGTTTTGCAGTACTTACCCACAGTGGCGTACATTTGTCCTCACATCCAACTTTCTGTATCCTATGCGTGAATTATTAGAAATTGGAATTCATTGGCTGGCTGTCGATTGGATCTGGTCCCAGGGGTAGAATGGTTTACGGGTTCGCCTTGTATAACGTGAAGGTGGTGCTGAGTTCGAACCCTGGTAGCGAGCGAATGCGTACTGATGAATCAGAGTCTCAAATTAGGCAGACGAAACAGCTGTCTGTTAGTCCTTCCACCTGGTCAATTGTCAATGGGTCTTTAACTGATGTCAGATCAGAATGATTTCTTTTATCATCGTTGTTCGACTGCCTCATCCGAACTGATAGATGCTAGAAGACTTATTCCGGCGAGCTCCGAATTCAATGAGGAGCGAAAGCTGCACAAAAGGAAACTTACTAAAAGTCTCCGCAAGGACCGTGAACAGTGGTGGCTGACAAAGGCAAAAGAGATGGAAAAAGCATCGGCGATAGGCAACACTAGGCAACTCTTTAGACTCATCAGGGAAACGGGTGGGAGAAGGCAAATCATAAGTGAGACTATTTCTGAGAAAAATGGCTCCTTAATTAGCTCTCAGGATAGACGCCTTGAACGCTGGAAAGAACACTTTGAGGGACAATTTAACTTGCCTACAGCCACACTGAACCTCCCCGACATCCAGCACACACCCGAATGGGATATAGACACTGGTCCGCCGTCTGTAAGTGAGGTCACAAAAGCTATCAGTAATTTGAAACGAGGCAAAGCGGCAGGACCCGACGGAATTATTCCGGAGGTGTTTAAATATGGGGGTGACATACTAGTTTGTAGATTAACTGAGGTACTAGGCAAAGTCTGGGAATCAGAGACAGTGCCATCAGACTGGGGTAAGTCACTTATTATACCGATATTCAAGAAGGGAAACAAGTCCTCGTGTGATAATCATAGGGGGATCAGCCTAACGAACATAGTCTCTAAAATCCTAGGCTCAGTAATCATGCATAGACTAAGCAGAACTCGGGAGGAACAGACAAGGGAAAATCAAGCAGGCTTTAGACCAGGTAGAGGGTGCATAGATCATATCTTCACTCTTCGACAGATTCTAGAACATAGACACACTTTTCGGCGTCCAACAATTGTCATATTTCTTGACTTGAAGGCGGCCTTCGACTCCGTGGATCGAAAGGTACTATGGCAATGTCTGACTGTGAAGGGAGTGCCAAGAAAGTACATTGCACTAATCAAGGCACTCTATTCAAACTCACGTAGTCGTGTAAGGGCTTATGGGGAATTGTCATCTGAATTGGTAACAACCAGTGGTGTCCGACAGGGATGTCCACTTTCCCCATTTCTGTTTAACTTCATCATAGATATGCTGATGGAAGTATCCTTAACTGAACGTAATGACTTAGGAATCGACTTGTTACCAGGGAATAGTCTTATGGACTTAGAATATGCAGATGACATAGTCCTGTTAGGGGAGGATGCTGACAAAATGCAGAGTCTTCTGAACACCTTGAGCAGCAATCTTCGTATGTTTGGCATGCGATTCGGCCCCACAAAATGTAAGATGCTGCTACAGGACTGGACCACGTCAACCCCTAACTTAGTGATAGGGAGTGAAGTGATAGAACATGTTGACCACTTCACCTATTTGGGAAGTTGTATTAGCACCAACGGACTGATTGGCGATGAAATCTCAGCACGGATCCGAAAAGCTCGAGCTGCTTTCGCTGACTTACACCATCTCTGGCGTAGGCGTGACATCCGGTTATCAACCAAGGGACGTGTGTACTGCTCATCAGTTCGCTCCGTCCTTCTCTATGGCTCTGAAACATGGCCAATACGCGTTGAAGACATGAAAAGGTTGACTGCTTTCGATCATAGATGTCTGCGATCTCTGTCTCACGTTAGGTGGTTTAATAAGGTAAGTAATGTTGACGTTAGGCGTAGAGTGTTGGGCAAAGAGGGAAAATCAATCGACGAGGCTATAAAGTTACATAGACTAAGATGGCTAGGTCACGTGCTGCGCATGCCTAACCACCGCCTCCCCCGACGGGCATTGCTAGCTGATATAGGTGCAGGTTGGAAAAGAGCCAGTGGTGGCCAAACAAAAACATGGCATCAATCCATGAAATCCTTGACAGTTAAACTGAGTCAGGTAGGGAGATGCAGACTCCCGGGTTGGGGCCCTCGGGACTCTAGGAATCAATGGCTGGAGACAATAGGTGACATGGCTCAAAATCGTTGTCAATGGCCAGCGCAGATGTATTCAGTCTCTGTAATCTTTCATATTCCTTTCTACCATTACCCATTCTGTTTCACTCTTATACTTGTCAGACTGTATTGATTCTCTTCACTCATCTTCTTGTCTACCTCTGTGTGCTATTTGGAAGGTGGCAACTCGAACTGGTGCACTTCGGTGCCAAGTTCTATGTTGAATCCAGACAGACATGTCCATAAATAGAAAAGGGATTCTGATAATCCTGAAAATTTTGAACGTTCTATAAACGTCGTAGACGACGACAAATACTGTTAGTATTTCGGCAACTTAGACCAACATAAATAAGTTGTTCAGGTTCCTTTGGTATTCTTTTCTAGTAAACGATTAGGTGATATTTTGTTCCATAAATTGTACTTCCTGTTGGAGAAATGTTTTAATTTCTAATTAACAATCCGGATTGTGTTGATATAAGTATAAAACTTGGGCACTGTGGTAGAGTATAACTCCATCATAGATAAGATTTTATTTTGATAAATCACGGAGTTTTATGCAGTAATATTAACTGATGAGAAAGTTTCGAGCAAAAACTATTGTCACTCATAGTCATATCAAGTCACTCACACAACTTTGTGTTGTCTAAAGAATCTTGAGTTAGACTACATGACTGACGATTGCATAAGTGCGGTCTAATGGTAACTTTATTATTAACGTTTATTTGTTATTGGCCCTTTATTGTCTGTGTCCTCCTGCAAGTAACTGTATTTGAAGCAATGGCGGCTTGCTTGAAACTGTAGCTACTGGAAACAACCTCCAGCAATATAGCTTTATATTTAATTTCTCTTATTGGCTTTGCTTAAATTATTTATTCACTATGGCGAGTAGTTAAAACACTTACAACTTTGTCATTCGCAATTTTATATCTACTAAACATGAGAGGAAGCATTATCCTCTATGGATGGCATGATTATCCCCAATACATGAGAGGTGACCGTGCCTCAGTAGTGTCCTGTGTTCATCGAAATATACTCCTGAAGCATTCAAAAAAACGTCGTCGTGTGGTTCTCAAAAGAGTCGAAGAATAGACGTCATAATGATGCATTGGTTTGTGCTTCGGGTCAAATGGCAGATAAAAGTGTGTCACATGATCTACTGTCCATCAGATCATTTTATTTGAAGATCGTGGGCGAAGAGAAAATATGATGCAATAAACTCGGGTGAAAATTCAGTACATTATATAAACACTGTTTCTCTAAGTAATATCTCGTGAAGATTGACTTATTATATCTGACACTTCTGTTTTGTATTTCTTGTCTTTCAGATTTTTAAGATCTCTTATGGAGTTTTTAACACCAGATGAAACGTACAGAAGAGATTTGACCAGCTCATCGGATAAATATGCTCCAGCACTGCCTACAATCGGACGTTCCTTATCATCGATTCCCAATAAACCGTCTATCCTCCCTGCTGATAGTCTATTCAATGTTGTCATTAATGGTAATCGTAGTTGTCTCCAACAAAACCTAGACTACTGTACAAATCTTCAAGGGATTGACCGCTTGTTGTACAATCGAGAGAATAAATTATTTAGTAATAATGATAATATTTGTAAAGAAATCAACCCTAAAGATGACAATTTTAATCTTTTAAGTTCTCATTTAGTCAATTCATCAAATGCTTATTTGAATTTAGCTTGGCTTTCGCATGATTGGCCTCATGCATCCGCTGCAGGAATTCTCGCCTCTGGGCTAATATCACACTTAGCGTATTATTCTCCGGTTAGTGTGTGTATGTGTGGTTATTTATCACCTTTTCTATCACTTTTTGCGTGTGTGTGGGTGTCAGTTGTGGTCATTTTTCATTCCAAAATTGTTTCCGTGAAACATTTTCGTCCATCAGGTATTGGAAATTTTGACAGAAAAGTATAACATAAGTTCTTACCATCATCCCAAAGACCCCGATCAGCCAGTCTACACCTCCTCACGTGGCTGGCTGGGTTAAACTAACTTGTTATGGATTTCATTGACTGATGAAACCAGCCATGTTTGCGTTTGACCAACGTGATCCATCCATCGGGGTATACGATGGAAGACTAGAGATGCATACGTAACACATGCCCCAACCATCGCACACAATCCATGTAACTGCGAGGTAAGGGAGTGCGTCGGCCGGGATCGAACCCCGCGTGATTGACGAGCATTCTACCACTGTGCCACCAACGCAGTGGTAGATCGGCGCCTAACGAGCAGAATGACCGTCTGATGTTGGGATCTGGCTGACACACACTACTGCGTTGTCGGTGTGATGAATAGTATACATAACTGTCACTCAGTAGTATGTATCGTTATGCCACTTATGATTGCCTTATATTTTCTCTTTGTAAATTTTGAAGTCATTGAAGTGAAATTGTTTCAGCTCAGTCATTTCATGTACCACCAGGCTAGGAGCTATACAATTATCGTGTATGGGCCGATGGCACCTCCCACCCAGTTGTGCCCAGACTGACCTAGCAGGTGAGTTAGGACTCGAACTCGTTGCCCAGCGGCTAAAAGCTGAGTGCTGTTTAAGCGTCAATGAGCGTCACATCTCAACTTATGGAAGTGAAATAGGAAACAATAATGCATTCTGTTGCGTTTAACGGTAATGTCGCAGACTGGTGAAATGGTAAATACTGCAGCGAAGTAGAACAACCTAGTTCTTTTTTGTAGTATTGATTTCGCGTCAAATTAAAATTCTGCCTAGAATAGTTGCAGGCTGATTTATTTATTAATTTGGATCCTATACACAACACGATAATAAGGTATTCTGTTTACTGGAACAACGTATCGAGGACAGTTTATGATAGAGTTTTCATCATGATTAGCTGAAATCGTCTGGAGAACACACTATTGAAAAACCGGTAGGATGTATTGCCAGATATATGTTCCCATAGTCCTAGTTTGGGAATCTTCAGTAGTGTATACCCACCACCAAGGTTCGAACCCAGGACCACCTTGCGATTATACAAGGTGAGCTAGCTCGTAGATGATACCTCAACGGCCATCCCCTTAATTCCAACTTCGGTTAACTCACGCACGATATAGAGTGAATGGCGAGTATAAAAGCTCACACTCGACCTTGTGCGCCCCACCTGAAAATATTTCTATAAATGATATCAGCTCACGATGTGAAAATCCTGTAATCAGTCTAAATCCCCCCTGCAAACCAACACTTTAACAGTTTATTACAAAGAGTCTCATTTTAATGTAGTTACGTTCTCTGAGCTGGATGTCTAATTTATAAAGATTTCATTGCCTTACTCTAGGCAACATCTTTAGCGCATACATACTTCAATTTAAAATTAGCTTTCAATGATTTTCCATGAGTTTGTTTGTCATTTTCCCCGGTAATCTTCAGCGTTGTGATGGGTTGTCTTAATACTCTCGCTCGCCGACCATGCACATGTTCCGGGGTTTGATCCCCGGCCGACGCACTCCTTTACCTCGCTAAGCTTAATACCCTCTAGTCTACTTGTATTGGTATTCATTGCTTCCTTGAGCTGGTGTTTACGTTTTTGTGTATGAAATTTCCTTCTTATTGATTAGTAAATGTTGTCTTTGTGTCAATGTGTCTATTAAATGTCGATTCCGTGGTTGTCTGTATGCAGTGATATGAGTGAGGGAGTGAATTTCATGTCTTATGGCGGCTAGTTTGTGTTCATGGATGGCGAGAAGAAAAAATCATCCACTTTGGCCATGTACTGTTTTTCGCAATCGTTGCAATTTATTTTGTAGATGATGTTGACGTTATCTTCTTTCGTTTTTGAGTCTTTCGGTTGACATAGAGTCAGCTGAATGAAGTGATTTTGTTGGCTTGTGTGCGACATCAATTCCTGTAGGTTTGAAGAGTCTTGTTAGACCAATCCATAAGAATAAAATCTTATGCACAAAAAGTAAACTTTCGATCAAGAAATCAGTCACAATACCAATACAAGTGGACTGGAGGGTGTGAAAACCCACACAAAAACAACCCACCAAGACGTTCAAAGATACTAGGAGCGAGATGACTAATAAACTCGTGGAAAATCATTAAAAGCTCATTTCGAATGCGCCGAAGATGTTGTCTATAGTAGGGCAATGAAATCTTCGTAAGTAAATTCTCCAGCTGAAAAAACGCAGCTATACCAAAATGATCCACCTGAGGTACAAATCTTCCTCATTATATCTACATAGTTTCATATTCACTTCCTGTCTGTTGTATATGATTAAATGGAGTTTTGTTTTCTAATATGTTGAAAAATGACTGTTCATCATTTCTTCTCTTTTTTTTCCATTTTCAATGAAATCAAAAATTATTTAGACAAGTGAACCGTCACAGTTTTTGGATCGTTTCCTCACTGTCCTTCATTTGTGTTTGAAATTTACTCTGAGTAAAATTACCACCGATTCTTCGATCAATGGGGAGAATTTACCGGAGGAGAAATCCAGCTCTGACAACTCCATACCGAGTAATAATAATAATATTGACAATACCAATGATAATGCCAATTTAATCCTACTCTTCTCTCCAAAGTTGCTGAATAAAAGTTGCTCTAGCCTTATTTTATTAGCTGCATCCCAGCTGACTACATCAGATGTCGGTGAATCCCGTCTAGAGAAAAATGATCTATGCATCGATTTTCAAAGTATCTTAATGTTTCCGAGCAAGTTGAAAAGACACGGGACCTCTGTGACAACAGACAGTCAAAAGTATTTTCTATGCCATGCTAAAGTTATTCTCTCCAGTCTGGATTATTCTCGTCCCAGCAAAATGAGTCGTATGCTGCTGACAACTGCAGCTATTCAAGGGATAAAAGTTAGTTTTTGCTGGGAATTTTCACTATCGATTTGGTTTTTCGTTTTTAACTAGTTTCTGTAAATAGTACAAATTTGAAAGTTAGATGATCGGGCGACTCAGTCACTTAATGAATGTTTAGAGAGAAAAAGTAACTTGTTCAGTGTCAGATGATAACTAGGAGTTTCTCTGTTCGGGAAGGGATCAGCACATAGAGATGAAACCCACAGAAGATGATCACTTCAAGTGACTCTTGAATTAACCATCATCACCTGTGCAACTCTTCAGAAAATACCAACACAGCGGGGGCAAAGAACTGTCGCCTATCAATCGACACCAAGTACTTCAAGAAAAGTAGAAATCTTGAATGCAATCAAGCTACTCTGAAAGCCAACTGGGAAGGCAGTAAGACAAAATAGAATCGCCACTAAACCATTGAAAATGGATCCAGAGACTGCAGCAGATATGCCGACGCCACTGTTGCAATAAGCTTGGAAAGAAGGTTGGCTACCTTGTCAAACTACCAAAAAAGGGTGACTTAAACCCATTGCGTTATTATACTGGAGAGAATAAAGGATACACTGGATGCAGAAGTGCACCAGCCCATAACAAGCTGAATTCAGAAAGAGCAAATCGTATACAGATCGATCTGAGACTCTACGCATCATCATAGAATGGGGCTCATATAATGTCAATCAAATATCTACTACCTCAAATTCATCGACTTTGCAAAGGCCTTCGACAGACACTGACGACAGCGAAGTAACTTGGAAACTCAAAGACACTTATTGGCAAAATCCCAGAAAAAACTGTCAGAAGAAGCAGTGCAACTAAGACAGAACTTCAGATAAGCTTAGAGAAGACGGAGTTGCCGAAAGTACCTAACTAACCAACTAAAAAAGCATTCATGTATTGGTTTGTAGGGGTTTGGTTGATTGGTTACATGATTTCATCATGAGCTGACATTGGTTAGAGAACCATTGGAAAACCTGGGAGTACTGGACAGCTGTTTCGTCCTAGTTTGGAACTCTTCAGCACAAACCAATACGTGAATACCAAGTAGTGGTTAGGACTCTCGCCGACCATGCACATGGTCCGGGGTTCGAGCCCACGCCGGCGCACACCTGATATCTATGGTCGGCCTGCAAAATTTGGGCTACCGATATCCATGCTGAAAATTCCATACTTGTACCAAAAATACAGTGTGGAATCAAGCTGTAAATCAAAATAAAATAAAATAAATAGATGCCCACTGGTGACTGGCCCTATTCAGCTAGTTAGTTACCTGGGGTTCCAGTGGGAAGTCTTGACCAGTAGGGTGCAGCAGGTCGCCGAAGACATTGGCTAGCGGTTGCGCTATATCGTAAATTGTCAGAAGTTAAAATTTATGAGCCATTGGATCGGGTCCCAGTGGCCTAATGGTATACGAGCTAGCTCGCCTTGTAACCAGAAGGTCCTGGGTTCGAACCCTGGTGGATGAGTACTGACGAAGAGTGCCGAACTAGGACGAAACAGCTGTCCAGTACTCCCTGCAGGTTTTCTGATGGTTCTCTAACCAATGTCAGCTCATGATGGAATCATGTAAAAAAGCATCAATCACTATCAACGGAATAATTTTAAAAGTGGTCACCTCCTTCACTTTACTACTCAGCATCTTTTTAACCGTGACCAGGAGGCACATATGAGGATGACAAGGACAGAATCGGAAAGGTAGGGTACGCCCTCACAAATGTGAAATCTGTTTGAAAATCTTGTGCATGTCACCTTAGCATAAAGAACATGATTCAGATTTTCAAAACAAATGTGAAGTCAGTCATCCTTTTTTTTCTATGGTTCAGAAAATTTGGCGCTCGCGTTACGGGTTACTGTAGACTTTTATCAACGGCTACCCACTTATCTGGCTCCAAACTGAAGATCAAATGGTCGGTCGGTGAGAAAGAATAATCAACAAGCCACTCTGGAACGTACCAACCAACACATGCTTCGGTGAAATTGGAGATGCATTAAACATATATTGATGAGACCATCAAATGACATCGCTCACCGGCCAGGCCATCTCTGGAGTGGAAGTCGAATGAGGAACGAGTTGGGCATGTGTCCGTGGGTGACAAGTAGGGTGTCATGTGAGTTGGAGGAGATAAGGGTATGAACAATCATAAAGTCAGTTGATGAAGAGGATAGCACAGCTTAGTGAAAGTAGGGATGTGCTGTTGATAGTCTGTATTCCGTTCGGAACCCACATTAGGTATATTGGCATGATACAGATTAATAGAAAGCGACCGAAAGTGGAATCAATATTTCAACTCAGTAGTCATAGAGGTAGAAATGTTTTTGTTCCTGAAATCTGGTTTTGGTTTACGTTGTGAACACAATATTATGGTGAGAGCTGGCTGCTAGCCAAAAATTGGCAGTCAATGTTTACATCTCCAATATTGGTCTTGAGAAAAATAAGAACAAAGACTGATTCAACAAGCAGCCATACCAGACTTTACGTAGGCTGATACAATTTGCAGATAGTTAATCAGAACTTCAATAAACGGCCACAAAGATGGCTGGCCCTCGTATTCTATTGTTACAATATAACCTCACATTGAACAACTTGATAAAAACTAGGCCAATCCGAACAATTTGTTCTCCTCGAATGTAGTCAAACTATAATCTGACAATGCATCCTTTTCATTAAAACCTGGGAAGAGATCATGCACATAGTTACAATCACCAGGTTCAGTTGTAACAGCAGAAGCCAAGGTTTATTTTTTTCATTAATCAAATGGCTGTTTATATATATATATATATATATATATATATATATATATATATATATATATATATATATATATATATATATATGTATAATGAGCATGTGATTTTGGTTTACATTAAATGACATGATATAAAATGGTCAAAAATGCATAGTATTCTGTTGCTAACGCAGTATTGAACTGTGGGAATAGTATTCTGCCTCTGACAGCAAGTGGAATGTCCAAATATATAAATGTAGTAATGTGTTGCTGCTAATGCCGTACTGAACTGTGGACATATGTGAGAATCATATTCCATTGGAACACAATGTCTGTATCACACTACCATACACAGTCATCATATAAGTGTGTTGCATTATAAAATATCTATTTAGGGCATTTACATCAGACTAAGCATCAACGAAAATCTTTCGCTTTTAAACCTTTTTATTTGTGGAGAAGACAACCTATGAAATCTCGTAAATAGTGTTTCAGTAGGACAGTAAACGTTCAAACAGAACGTGAGATAGCAGGTGATACTAGGGAAAATTACGTTAAACATATTTCATCAACTAATAGTTCCTAATCTGTTGCATGCAGCATGTATCTTAGTGCAAGGATATTGTCATGTGAGTAGGATCGTTCCTGGATTTTCTTTGTTAGGTATACAAAGACCACTCTATGTAACTTGTCATACACTTTCGATAAAGTGCGAACAATGCTATGGTCAGAATTCAGCAATGGAGCTCTCCTTCGCTCCTTTATATATGTCATGATCGTCTATGAATAGCAAGTCCAGGTTTTGGTCAAGACAGGTATTGGATTTGGAAAAATATTTTCGTGACTAAGTGATATGAATCAAAGTCTTCACAGACTGTGGGCAAAGAATTTCCAGAAGTAGGATCAGCGAATTCAGTAAATTCGTTTGCGCTAATAGATATATCAGAGGAACTGCAATCTGGAGCCATAAAAACATTTGTTAGGTATATATAGGAATATTTACTTAAATGCTTTGAACGACACCTAACAGTGATACAGTCTATATATTGTCATTAGAAAAATGAACCATACATGATTGGATGTAGACCACTTTGTATGGATAAAAGTGGCTACCTCTCCGCCATACTTTTTCTTTAAACTGTGTCTGTCCTGACGGTAACCCTTATATCCATTTAATATTAGATTGTTGTTATACTGCTGGTGGAGCCAAGTCTCTTGTATAGCCGAAACACCAGAATTTCGACGCGGTCGTTTTGAGGATATTGGAGATAGTTCACTTTGTTAGATACAGAACTACAGTTGTTAGTACTGATAACTTCGGGGACAGTCATACGATTAACGTGTGTGTGCGTTTTAATGCACGCTGCAAACCACAGTGATGTTTTTTCCCTCAATATTTTCAGGATGACTCAATGCTATAGGGCTGTAAAGATTTTAAAAGCACAGGATTATAGACAAAGCGACTTGAAGACATTTGTGATTGATTCAAAACAAAAATATAGGACGAAATCAAAGCACAAAATGTAAGCTGATGCAAAATGAACCTTTTTCGGTAACCAAAAATTTAAGCAAGCCGCGTAATGACCCCAATGTGGCTAAAGGTGGAGGGTGCATTATTTGTGTCTGCATCCAAGGAAGGTTGATACTGTCCACAGGATATGATACTTATAAGTATCAACACTTACGGGTTTCTTATCATTTCCCGTTACAGTATCCCTTTGATTCACTTCAGACTATTCCTAAACCACTGATTTGTCTGTAAGCTTCTAGCTCTAAGCGGGTCATGACTTGTATTCAACATTTGTAAATTTGTCTTTCTGACGATATATGCACATGTATTGTTGTTATGAAATAGGCATTTTTATGTTATTTCAGGCTTTACGAATATACACGATTCGATTGATTCGGCTGTTGTTTCGTCTGAAACTGCCATTTTTAGCCAGTTGGTGCATAGATTTGGTTGTAAAGTTATGTATGGATCCTTCAAAGAAAGTACGTCGTCTTGCATTATGCTTATTAGAAGTAAGTATACTCTTGTAAATCTGCTGTTCAATATTAATCCTCCTAAATTTTAACATTCTTAAAGGGCATCATTGTGACATATATATATATATATATATATATATATATATATATATATATATATATATATATAGGTGGTCCCGCGGTAGAGCGCTCTGCAACCGCACCTCACGTGGTTCGGGGTTTGATACTTGGCCGACTCACTCCTCGCTAAGCCGATAGTAGGGTCCGTGGAAAAAGGGAGAAGGTTGAGCAACCGTACTCCGTAGAAAATAAATCCACTGCTACAGAAATTTCAAAACTTTGGGCTTGCAGCCCTGTGTTCCACTCTGAACATAAAGGAACAATATATAAAGGATAAGAGAACATATTTCAGCATGGTTTTGCGAGGGAGAAAGCAAGAGTGTGCCCAGCTTTATTCTAGAGCATTGATTTTAAGGCCATCATTTGTCGAATTCATGCTACCTTGCCGGCCGCGGTTTATTCCATTTAAATTTTTCTAAAGACAGTAGAGGCGTCGGCTACTCATAAATTTAAGCTAAACACATTTATGTACAAAAGAAGTACGTAAAATCTTCATTTGTACCTCAACCGTAGAGGGATGGACATTTGTTACTTTTTATTTTTGTTTATTCTGTCAATCTATGTAATAATAATAATAATAACTATTATTATTATTACTATGCTCACTTTGAACTGGTTCCCTAATGATCATCAAATGGCCGGCTGATCAGAAAGAAGTAGCTACAAGAAACTGTGGGAGCGAACCAACCAACAATTGATTGCCCAACAAATATGTAAGGGAAAATGGAGATGGATTATGCACACGCTGGTTGAGGAAACTATTGAATGACACTGCGGGTTAACTAGACCAACTCTCTAGTGGAAAGTTAATGGAAAACGACGAGTTGGGCATGTGTCCGTGAGTGATATGGTGGAGATCGTCTGAATTGGAGTAGATGAGAGACTATAGGACGAATCGTGGGCCCGGGTAATAAGGACAGCAGAAAATAGGGCAAAGTGGAGACTTGCTGTTGAAACTCTCTCTATGTGCCACTAGGAACCCAAGGGAACAGTAATAATGATAATTCTTGACAAGTCAGTCCACCCACTTGATCCTATGCAACTTGTTCATATTATATGCTCTCACGCAGTGTGTGTGTGTGTGTGTGTGTGTGTGTGTGTGTGTGTGTGTGTAGATTTACTCGTTCAAATTATCTGAATTTTCATTTCTTTGATCCAGTTGTTGTTCTCTGAGCCAGTGATAAAAATTGTAAAAGTTTTCCAATCTGTTTCTTAGACATTGGAAGACTTCACGTCGTTTGGATTCCCGCTTCAGACTAAAAGTCTTTACTGAAACACATTATCTAGAAACACCAATGAAAGCTTCAGAGTTGAATGAGCCACTTGACTGCTCAAAGAAAAGCACATTGACAGAAACATCCATCTAAGATCTACAAATTTTCGCTGTTGTTTAGTAATTTGAATTTAGTTATATCTGGCTAGTAAATGTATTGAGTTGAATGTTAAGTGTCGCACAACATTTATGATGATTCGAGTAACGATGGGGAGTCAGCAGTATCTCACATTCCAGGATCAAACTGCTATTACTATATGTCTGTTGGTCGCAGTGTACTAAACTGATGCATGGAGGATATTTTTTCACCATTATGGGAATGAAAAGCTTGAGGTAAATAGTTTCGTAAGTTAGAAATATGCATCTTTTAAGTTGCATGGAGTTTCAGTGAGAACTGCTGACCATTGTAGGGTCCACCAACTCGTCTGGAGTGAGGACAAATACTACTCCCCATTGGTGACGTCATTGGCAGGTTGGTGCTAATTGCTCAAAAAAATGACGAATTGGCGTAGAAGTTAGAGTTCATGGGTTGGCCATTGAGTCGGGTCCCAGTGGCGGATGATTGCTCTACGAGATTGCTTACTTGCCGTATAACCGGCATGTGGTCCTCAGTTCGAAACCTGGCGCCGTTCGAGTGTCGATGAATCCTAAGCACTCTTAGAAAATGTATTTAAGTTGTGCTTTTTTTTAAATTCCTGTCTTTTTTATGCTTTATACTTTGTACAGGAATTATGTTGGGATCCAGCAAATGTACAAGCTTTGTCACAGAACATTCTACAAAGGAATAGTCAAACAAAAGACAAACGAAGCAGTATTTTGACATGCTTTGCTGCCTATCTACTGAATACAAACACTGGTCCAATTGGGCATAGAATATTTTCTAGAGTCCTATCTATTACAAATGTATTTGATCAATTGTATATGCATAAAATAATCAAACAGCCAAATTCATTGGTTGGTTATGTTTATGATGGACGTGAAAGGAATAATAATAATAAATTGAAGAATTGTCATATTCCTTCAGACAATCCACACAATGATTTCATCGACACATCACCTGATAATGACAAATTATCTAGTGTTATCAATCCTACTCCACGTCCTCCTGGTGATGAGGATGATGATGATCACTATGCTGAAGTGAACGATACCAATGGTGACAATGATCAGGCAAGTATTCTATGTGATCCGATCAACTGGATCCTAGATATTGCGAAAAAGGTAGGCATTTATTTACTCCTTCATTTCTTCACAATTGTATGTGTTTTACATGGATATATCTGTATATCTGTCGTTACTTGGTGTCTTATCCCCAAGTCGCCATTTATATTACCAGTACTCATTATGTGTTATGGTGTATGCTATATATTTCATTGACTAATGAAGCGCTGTTTTCGTTTGACCAACGTGATCTCTCTATCCTAACATTGCCGGTCGGTCGAACAAGGCGACCACTAGCGTTGGCTAAAGGGATGCATGTACAGCACGCGTTCTAATTATCTAACCCTAATGATGTAACTGCTTGACAGCCTCGTTGATTAGTGATTTTTCCTCCTCCTTGCCTAGCACACCACTCGACCGATACCCCACCAACCCAATATTACTCACCCTATTACACCTCCTACCTAACTTAACACGGGATGTAGACAGAACGCAGACACCTTTTGATATCTTCCACTTTCAATGGCTACCATGTCTCACTCACAGCCAGCCGGATAACACTTCTCCTAGACGAGAGATGCTGTAAGTTGTTGGGAAATGCATCAGAATGTTTTCGCGGGCGACTTGGGCCTTTTAAGACGTTTTCTTTGGTTTTAGATTCGTCTCTATAAATGTGGATGGAGGGACACCATTTTTTATCCAGGTCCTTCGGAGATTTCATATTCCTTCTTCTTCATATTAAGTTGATAAACTGTCTGTTCCATGTGGGTAGGCTTTTTGTAGATTGATGGATCTGACTGAGTTATCAGCAATACTTCTCAGTTAAACATAGAGGAACAAATGAAACTTGAGTCAAACTCAACTTCTAGAATGAAGTCGATGTTTGTATGGGTATTTGAACTTTTGTATCTCTGGTGCTTCAGCAATCCTCAGATGTCTTGATTTTACTTCCTTTTGCTGAGAGGTTTGATCCAAAGTTGTTTTCGACTTCTTACATAACTTTTTATCAAGTGGAGCTGAATTTCCTAATTCACCAGGTGTTTTTTTACGAAATTATTTATAAATCACATTTAAAAACAGAAAGGCGGTATACTTTCATCAACGCCTGCATTCAGCGGATACTGGAGATTAGATATCGTCAGTTGGCCAGTAAGGATAAATCGGAAGTACCTCTGGAAGGTGGCAGCGATTAGGACCATAAAAACTATATGTTCAACAGGAAGAAACGGAGATAGAGTCGCAATAGTAGGTGGTAGGTTGTGCGTCTGAAGCTGATATGAAGGAGAAGATCATGTGAAGAGAAAGTGTGACGTAATGGACAGTTGTGGATATGTGGATGTGTGCATGTCGATATGCATGGTTTGTTGTCTAACTCAGATTCAATTTCTTCCTTCTCCCCGTTACTTCCTTCCCTTTCCACCACAGTATGTGAGGGGTATCACACTACACCGATCTCTTGGGCAAGGGATATTAATATTATTAATGTATTTTCTGTATTTTCCCATATATAGAGGGTAGCTAAATACCACCATATAAACGAAACTGACACACTATTAAGTACTTAGACTTTAATTCATACCATCCAGAATCAGTAAAGGGAAGATAGGTTTAGTTAAATGTCTATGTAGTCGGACCAAGAGCCTGTTTAACTAGTACTCCAGAAGATTTAAGTAATGAAATCAAACAAATCTAGGAAATACTACCAGTCAATAACTACCCACCAGAGTTTTTTTCAGAAGTGTATCAAGAACCAAACATAAGATTAGTAGTGAAAATAACAAAAATAATCTAGAATTCAAAGCCTCTGTGGTACTGTCGTATGAAGAAAGGACGTCGTCAGAGGCCTTACGTAGGGTTCTCAATGAACCTGGAATTAGTCGAGGTGGCATTTAAACCAACCAACCAACCAACCAACCAACTAGCCCTCTCAGAGGTAAACTATATCGTCTTAAGGACATACCCGATTGATTCAATTAACAAAAATAATACAACTTACCCAGTACCATGTATTGACTGTGAGTGAGGTCAATTACATAAGTCAAACTAAGTAGATCGAAATCAATTTTACATTATCAGAACATAAAAATCAAGCTAGACTTAGAATGACTGACCCTGTTAAGTAAGCTAAATAACCTAGAAAAACTGGAGCTCATCCATTGCGTTGCACTGCATCCACCTGCATGTAATCTCAAAATAGGATGTGTGGGTGGAGAGAGAGAGAGAGAGATTAGTCTCTGAATCTCTGCTTATCGATTCAGCACTGCACACATGGAGTCGAAATGATGCACCGCCTACCTACCGGAGGAGATATGGAAATTATGAACAGACAGCAAGGGGAAAAGGGAGAGTGAGAAAGGGAGTGAGAGTAAATGTTTCTACAACATACTGTGGAACCGTATAGTTAAATTACTATGATTATGATGAGCAGCACTAATTTATGCTCCAAACCTTGTCACCATCCATTTGTTGATACTGCATCATCACTGTGTGTGTGTGTGTGTGAGTTATCAAATGATTCGCATATTCCTAATTATGTTTTTTTTTCACAGTATTACAATGAAGCCTATGCCAAAGATATGGATACCCGCCTAACATCAATGTTTGTTACCTATGAAACACGAAAATCCACGAATGCCTCCTATGCTAATGCTGAATCACATTCCAAAAACTTACTGTTGCCAGTCATCAGTATCATGGGATTGGAGAAATCATCCTATGTGAATTTTACAACAGACAATGATGAGAATGATCGTGATCATGATGATGATGATGATGATCTTGAAGACAGTGTTGATCATCCAAGTAATACAGAGTTTACTTTTGAAGATAATTACTTCATTGAAGGAGCTGATAATAATGCTGATGATGATGGACATGACACTTATTATTTACCGCCTCCATTATCGACTGCTAGATCGGTTTCGTATCATAAACTATCAAATGGTTGCGATAGTTATCATTGTCTAGCCCTTTTAAAACATCCCTATGGATGCTTAGCTGAACATCGTCATGGAATTGACTTATTAGATAAGAGAATGGATTTGGAGGTAAGTGGTCTTCAGCTTTTCCATGATAAAGTCTCACAATGTTGTTAGTTAGTTGTTTTTCATCACCTCCGTCCTCTGTATGGTGTTCCTTTGAAGTTGTATCTTTCCTGCTAGGTAACTGCTTCTTATGCCAACTAGTTGGTTTTTCTTTGAATTTATGTGAAATTATACGTAAATCATCCACACGCGAAATCCGTATATTCTGGAGTCTTCTTATCACGGTACAACATATTCCTCTCTTCGCGTATAATCCAGTCCACCGCAATTGGGAATATTTTATGTTGGTGATAATAGGCAGTCAACTTTGTCTTACTCCTGTCTTCAATTCAAAGGCTTTTCATTGAGTTGTCCGTTGTGGATCACTTAATGTGTGCGTGCCATTTTCATTTGGCTAACTGTTGAATAAGGTTGATGAAGATGATTTGGAGCACTGCACACTCCGTAGTGTGTTCAAGTAGTTTCCAAAAATTACTCCGTGGTCAACGTTGTCCGTTGAAGGCCTTTCCAAAATGAATGAAACTCTCAAGTAAAGTATTGACTGTGTTCAATGATGATGGTGATAATGAGGAATGTGTTGAGTTGCAATTTGATCTGCACATGATTTGCTCTTCCTGAATCCAGCTTGTTCCCAGTAGGCGAAGTTCTGCATTCAAGTACATCTTTTAGTCTCCCTCTCTCCACAATGAATGGCAGTACCCTGATTATTCCGATATTAACCCATTGAACAAACAACGAGTAATGATAAACTGCAAAGCCCACCCCCCCCCTCCATCATCTTGTTATAAGAATAGAACTTGGGCATTGCGGTAGAGTATAATTTCATTATGGAGAAAATTTATTTACCGATGATGACGTTTCGAACACAACTTTAATTACTGCTCACAATCATATCTGTTATGTACTCGTCGCCAAATTATTGTTATGTACTGGTCGAGAATTTAATAGTCCTGACGCAAGAAAGACGGAAATCAGAAGACCCCACTAGGTTTTCGATGATACTTCTATTTTCCAAAACATCAGGAGAATCAAAAATGTCACACAAGAGTGTGAGAGCAAAAATACATGAATGTCTGAACAAGTGTGTGAACACAAGTGTGAGAGCGAATATTCAAAATGAACAAATCAATAGACAGTCTTAACATGATTGGCTAATTATAATGGAAAATCGATCCATATATACATAGCAAATATACAGACTGTCAAACAAAAACACATATTATATGGATATATATCAATATCAAGGCACTACTACTCACAACTTTCCCACTTCTTTTATATATAATTCCATTATTTCCATTCATCTCTTGATTTGGTAATTGGTAGTGGTAATAATGTTTTCAGCCCGGCCGACAACTGCTACCTTGTCATGGTGGTCGGTTTATTATTTATTTATTTTTGATTACAGCTTGACTCCACACCGTATTTTTGATACAAGTATGGAATTTTCAGCGTGGATATCGGTAGCCCAAAATTCGCAGGCCGACCATAGATACCAGGTGTGCGTCGGCGTGGGCTCGAACCCCGGACCATGTACATGGTCGGCGAGAGTCCTAACCACTGTGCCACCTCTATGACCCAAAAAGCTACACTGACTGGGACTTGTGCTCCTGTAGGTCATACCATTCCAGTTAGACTGTTTGGATAGCGGTTAGACTAAAAGCAGTTAATATGGGGTACGCGTGCTCCAGAATCCAAACGGATTGAATGACATACAAACCTGTATTGGTCACTACCAGCCATACGAATGTAGCTCCTGACGCTGCTCCGTTGTTGGGGCTGAGATTCCAATTCAAAGACTCGGGGTTGTTCCTTGAAGACAGCTACCTACTTCAGTCCGATCGCCCGGGTAGGCAGTATACCAGCCCTCGCACTAAAAAATAAGGAGAATTAATCACAAGCTCATTCTCACGATCACGAACGATGATAATATTTTTGGCAGCGCTCTTTTTTAATCCTATTTTCTACACTTTTATTTTACGATCCTTGGTGTTTTCACCTTCGTCAGCCTTTCACCTTTGTCTGAATTCCCAGTCAATCTGTGAGATATCAGTGAGTATCTGTCAAAATGGTTGTCTCCAGTGCGACATCCTACACAGACATTCTGAAACTGCGTGCCGCGTTCAAGCTTGCTACCTACAATGTTCGGACACTAATACAAATTGGAAAACGGAAAGTTCTGGTGAGAACATCGGAAAGCCACGCTATCGATGTCTGCTGCGTTTCGGAGACCCGCATTCAAGATCCCAGTGAAGTGCTTCAGATATCTTAACTACCTGAAAGTTCTAATAGTACGTACCGCCTTCGCTTGAACGAGGACCCTGTGGCGTCGTCATCCGGCGTAGCTGGTGTCGGTGTCGCACTAAGTGATAGAGCCGAAGCTGGGTTACTTCACTGGATCCCCGTTAACAGTTGTTTATGTGCTGTGAGACAGGAAGGTTATACGCAAGAAAGGAGTAGTAGGCCAGATAGGCGGTGCCTATTTGTTGTCTCTGCCATTTCACCGACAGATTGCAACCCGGATACAACTGAGGGTGAGTTTTACAACCAATTGAGAGATCTTCTGAACGGCGCGCGTCAGAGGGATATCGTAGTGCTGGCTGTGGACTTGAATGCCCAGCTCGTGTGTCTAGGCGCAGAAGAGAGTCTTCTAGTTAGTTAGTGCGAATGACTTGGTCGCAGGTCAGACAATGAGGGCCGTCTTCTGCAGCTTTGCGCAGATCACAACCTATGTGTAGGTGGCACTCACTTCCGACACAACCATCACCGTAGCTCATCTTCCCTATGTGATTCAAGCCTGGACTCGGATTGACCATATTGCTGTCAGTTTCTGATGACGAGGATTTTATAACTGCTCACAATCATATCAAGGCACTATTCACACAACTTTTCCACCTCGTTTATTTAATTCCACTATATCTCATCTCTTCATTTGATTGGTTGTAATCTTCCGTATTTCAGGTACCAGTGATGATGAGTCATTCCTACTGCATGTGTTGTGTTGGGCGTAGGTTATTCTGACTGACCACGTGAAGATAAATAGTTTAGAGAGAAGGAAACTCAGCAGTCGCACGATTAACGACACAATGGAGTGGGACATAGTTACAGTTCTAAAAAGTAATATAGATAGATGGAGAAGGAGAGGTTGGTCACTACTGAATCTTTTTTAATAGAATAACCTACACCCAACACAACACATGCAGTAGGAGTGACTCATCATCACTGATACCTGAAATACGGAAAAGGATTACTACCAATCAAATAAAGAGATGAGAAATAGTGGAATCATATAAACGAGGTGGAAAAGTTGTGTGAAAAGTGCCTTGATGTGGTTAAGAGCATTAAGAGAAATTTAGCTCGAAACGTCATCATCAGTAAATACTACTACTGTATAACAAACTAAGAATATCAAAATAAAATTTTCTTTTTAATAGAGGTATGCGGTATTTCAAATTCTTCATACGTATGCAGCTTATTGCTTTATTATTACTATAGCATCATCACCAAAACGATCGGTAAATATTTTTTTTTGTCTTCACACACACTTTGTTCTCTTTTTGTACAGCTTGCTGTTGCAAATATACGTGCATATGAATCTCGATTATCCAGCAGAAATACTACTACTGCTATGATGGATGAAAATTTCGAAAAGTTTCCTATCAATGATACAAATACACTACTTAAACTGAAAGCTGATATGTGGGCCTTAGCGCACGCTTGTTCAACGTCTTTTGGACAGTTGTGGTTATCCAAACATCCAGAGCTGGTGAAATTATTCACTAATATTACTCTTCACTCCAGTACAATGAGTGTTAGAGCGTAAGTGCCCTTTTTCATTTATTACGGATGCTTTTTTCATCACATCATCTGTTATTGTACTATTAATGTTTTTTGGGTTTCCAGTGGAACATAGGATGTGTTCAACAGTACCACATCTCCACTTTGTCCTAATCTCTGTTGTCCTCTGTAGTTGGACCCACGATTCCACATAATTTCTCGTCTCTTACCCCTCCTCTCACAATCTTCTCCAAGTTACGTTTCGAGTGATGGCCTACATTGCATGTGATGTCATTTGACGCTCTTCTCAGTCCATCTCCGTTTTTGTATGCGCTTTTGTTGAGCAGTAATCGCTTTATTGGACTGTTTGCTAATTCTTTGTGGCCCGGCATTTGATTTTAATATGGAGCCAGAGAAGTGAGCACCTGGTGATTAATGCCTGCAGCTGGCTGTAGGAAATGACCTTTCATATATATATATATATATATATATATATATATATATAAGGTCAAGTCTTTCGAAGGGGTTTCGAGCTGCATCTTCTGTCCACAGCAGCAGAAGCCATTCTCCGTGCACAAGGACAGCTCTGAATTATGTATATGGAAGTGGTTAATCCATTTCTGAACTACCCTCATCTTCGCTCTCTCTGGTACATTTTTTTACCGTTATGTGTTATCATGATATGCGGCAGTTTGGCTTGGATGCGAAGTTCCACAATGATTTGTCACCAACCAGTTCGCAAAGTATAATTAAAGCATTAAATGTGGTATGGCTTTTAGAACTTTTAAAATGAAACCAGTTCTTTGACGGTGGGAATTTCTCTTCACATTTCTTTGTTTTTTAGTCGGGTGTGAGGAGAAATACTCACCACCGATGACACTAGCTCGTGCCAGTCGTGCTGTATCGTGCGGCAATTAGCAGAAGTTGGTATTCATGGACTGGGCATTGAATCGGGTCCCAGTGACTTAATGGTCTATGAGCTAGATCGCCCTGTATAATCGGAAGGTGGCAGTGAGTTAGAGCCCTGGTGGTGTGTGGGTGTGCTCATCTAAAGACTAAACCCAAACTAGGATGAAGCAGCTTCCCAGTACTCCCAACTGGTTTTTCAATGGTTCTCTAACTGATGTCATGATAAAATCCTGTAACTAATAAAAACCATGGAAACCTACATTTGAATATTTTGGTTTTGTTAAGTGAGAGACTTGTTTAAGCCCCTTGAAAGTGGAAGACATGAAAAGTTCGGTTGGTCGACTGTCTTTGAACATAGGTGTGGTCTACGTTCTATCTACACCCCGTTTTAGGTTAGGTAGTAGGTGTAATAGGGTGATTAATATTGAGTTAGTGAGGCATCGGTGGAGTGAGTATGAGGTAAGTAGGAGGAAGCAAGGTTGATTTGTTGACGAGGTTGTGAAGTAGTCACATGGATTGCGTGAGATGCTTAAGACATGTATGTGTTGCGCATGCGCATCCCTAGCCATTCATGCATCGATCGACCACTTTCCTCGACTGACGGGCAATGTTATCTTGGCTGAGATAGAATTGATGGATGAGGTTGGAAAAACGTTAGCTAGCTAACTAACACATGGTGTGTAGTCAAACAAAAACATGACTGGCTTCATTATTTGATCAATAAAATCCATATCAACAGCTAGTTAGTTTAAGTCAACTAGCCAGCCAGTCAGGTCGGAAGGTGTATGCGCCGCCTGTCTTCGTAACTGGCTGGTTGGGGTCATCGAGTTGGTAGGAACTATCTCTGCTAAGTTCTATGTTGAAACCATCCAGTCATTTAGTGGAAGGTTTATGTATTTGTTTATGTAACTATATATAACATAACCATTTCGCCATACAATATTTTATATTTTTCAGATACTTTTTTTCATCTGTTGTTTCTATAGGATAGCATGGATTTGTTTAAATTTAATTACTTCCTGTCCTAATGGATATTTTCGAAAGTGCCAAGGTTCTTCAATTTCTGCTAAAAATCAACAGGCATGCAGTGAACCTTTAGATTGTGATGAATTGACAAATGATTGGCCATTCATCCCATATACTGATAACAATAATAATAATAATGAAAGTAGTCATAGTAACAAGAATAATGCGAGTGAGAATGTTATTTCCGACAACCTAGAGTTTCACACAACCCTCCAACCGAATAGTGCCCAACTTGATGCGGTAAAGTTTGACCAAGATGCATTTCAGTCTGACAACGGACTACTTTCTGATGTATACGATGTCGTTGGTCCATCAGTTCATTACGAAACTGAGCACAGTAAGCTATGCTTGACATTCCTTTTGTTCATAATGTCTGATAATGTACTGTTGTTTAATTCGTGGAAAATTTCCATTATATAGGAAAGCAAAATAAAGGATTCACAGAAGTAAATCTAAGGTGTGAATACATACAATAATAATAACAGTATGAAATGCCATTAAAATATTCGTGATTATAATCACGGTTAATTAAATATCAAGTGTTATGTGTGGCAAAACAACTAGTGTCGGATATATAGAGAGAATAATTCATAAAATGGACGTATAGATGAAGGAAGGGGGTGAATAATTATCGGTTTAGTAGGCAAACATGAAACTGCACACGGTGTACTAGCGCTCTAGCTTTCTAGGCAGTCGTAAGCCCTAAAAAAGAGGGAGGTTCGGGTGTGGGGATGGCCATCCCACTCCGGAAAATCAATCAAACTGCCATAGAAACTTCAACGCACAAGAAAAATATCAAAAAAATAATAATAGGCAAATATAAAATGTCACACAGCATGTTGTGAAATTTGACAACGTGAAATTCAAAGTTGCAAAACGAAAATTGATTTAGAATGACAAGTGGTCCGAGTGAAATAATATCGGGGATAACTAAAAATGCGAATAATGATAATATTAGTAACAATTTACGTAATAAGGGAAGAGTATGGAAGTTGAATAAACAAAACGGAAAGGAAGCAGAATCAAATATGAAATAGGGATTATCACACCTTAGCATAGTAGGATTCAGACACCGTGAAAGTTGCAGGTGTCGAACGAACTTTTACGGTATACGGAGTCCTGGCTTTCATATTTTGATCGCCAAAGCCTCAGTAATACAACAGATGAGTGTTGAATACGTAATGATTTGGGTGAATTATTTTTCGTCGCTTTGTATATGACGTTAAAGATTGAAGACGTTCAGATGTGGTAACATCAGTATCGACCAAATGTTCATTCGATGTTGCGCTTATCGTGGTTCCACTTCCACCTCTTCGTAACCATCATGTAGGATGGCGTTCTTTCATCCTCTCTTGGAGAAAACGCGGGTCGAATGACCGATATATATACCTAGTTCCACACAATCGGATGAATCGATAAACGCACGTAGAGTTTATAAACTACGAGATCTTATCCTTCAGGTTATTGAACAGTGGTAATGGTCTCAAACTCGAAAATGCTATGCTCAATGATTCACAGCAGGGAATGTTCCTTTCAAGAACTGTGAGCTCCCTCCTTTAATGATGTCGGTGACTAAGTCAACTTCGAATTCCAAGTTCATGTACAGCACTATCTTGGTTACAGACGTTAAGTCGCATTTATTACCTACTAATTCTAGAATTATACACCCCCTTCCTTCATCTATACAACCATTTTATGATTTATCCTGCATGTATGACACTCGTTGTTTTACCACGCTTATATTCTTTTAGACGACTCATTTTCAAAAGCTGTTGTACTACAATGGTAATTCTATTTAACGAAGAATTCATAAGACGGCGACCAATTAGATGAACTGGTCAATTTTTTTTCTAGACAATGTGTTGCCTAATGTGTGAGGTGTAATCTATAGGGAGATGATTAATTGTGAATTCGAAAAAGTCTGAGGGGGCGGGGCAGAAGTTTGGATAACGTGATAAGTATAATTTGTATTATTACTTATTTATGTTACACATTTACGTTCCCAGTGGAACGTCCCATGGCTTCAAGCTGAAGCTTTGAAGTGTTGGTAGCAGTGGGTTTTTTTGATTTTTACTGGATGGGGTTGCTAGCCTCGCCTAACCCCAACCTTCCCTCTTTACTGGGCTTATTGCCGGTTATGTGAGGTAAAGGAGTGCGTCGCCCAGGGATCGAACCTCGGACCACATGCGTGGTCTACCGCTGAACCACAGAGGCTGGTAAGTGTGAACCAAGGACTAGTCAATCTAATTGTGTCGAGTTGAGTGGAAATTAGTGGAGAGACGATAAAGTGGTTTTTTAAAATCTCTATGAAAATACAATGTTATTAGGAAGCAATAATAGAGTGATGATGAAATAAGAATGATAACAATAATAATAAACAAACAGTGAAATGAAAAACATTCTATTGAGAACGTTATTCTGGTCGAGTTAGGGGGCAAGTGAATGCATATGGTGCTTTTGAACTCAGAGGTATCCGGCTTCAGTAAGTGATTTACGTAATGTATAGGGTGGTGTATTCGAAGTCTATTCATGCGATATTTGAAGACTTGTGTATAGAAGTCATGTGAGAGTGTGTCCGATATTTAGAATTGACAAGCTATCTGATTGGTTGTCTTATGAATTCTTTGTTAAATATAATTTAATATTGTAAAGCTTATGTAAATGAATTGTAGAAAAGAAAATTTTCTTAGCTGTTGTTTACGTCTTCTTTTTCTTATGACTCAATATCGGGAATATTTCGTTTTTATATACTTGTATCTCCTCCTTCGGGTCTTTCGTGAAAAATATATTCAAGCTCATGTGAACTGTGATCAGGATTTGACCGAATAGTTTCAATAATAGTTTCTGTGCTGAGTGAAAAGTATATATATATATATATATATTCCCAGCAAAATTGAAATAAGTAATTATGACCTCTACACATTTGAAGAAGCTAGAAAACAGACCGTCTATTGCACTGTGCTCGAAGGAAACGGGCCGCAAGATCGATTTTCATAACATTTATTTGCTTTTGTTATTTTCATTTCGATTAACTTCTCTGTAGAAGTTCGGACCAGTTTGCAGAACTCAAGAAAAGTTGGAATTACTTAAAGTTCAATTTTGTTGAGAATATACAAATATGTTATTTTTACATATGTGTACTTCTCACTCAGCGTCCAATTATTTTGGAACTATTCAGTTAAATCTTGATCACAGTTCCTGTGAATATTTGGTCAAATCTTAAAAGTTACGTAATACATAGAGGTTAAGTGGATAGGTAGTCAGAATTTAAAGAAATATAAGAAAAGTACGAGAGAAATGAAGAATGAGAAAGTTCGGAGGTTCTACCTAGTTAGAATTTATCTAGTTCAAGGGACAGCTAATGGTAGAACAAAATTCTTTAATATGCAGAGACACTAGGATCGTTCTTTCAATGGCCATTTCGAAATGCGTTCGGAAGTTTCGATATAATGCGGTAGACAACCATGAACGCGCTTCTTTCCACTCTGTCATCGTTATCATCAATCAAATGAGACAGAGCAGAACTTCTCATGGGTTTTATTTGGCCTTTATTGAATTATTAAGGAAGGAAGATGCACCCACCCCACTTCCAAGGTTCGAACCCAGGACCACCTTCTGGTTACACAAAGCGAGCTAGCTCGTAGACTATTCGTCAGCCAGTGGAACCTGATCGGTCCAATGGCCAGCCGATGAGTTCCAGCTTCTGACAGTTCACGCATGATATAGCGCAACTGATACTAGCCAATGTCATTGGTGCGAATATTTGTCTTCACACTCCCGACCACTTGCTTTACTCCATTACTTGTCACAGCTGTCTTGCTGGTTTTCTAATGGTGTTCTCCTCTAACGTATGTCAGCTCATCATGATGAAATCTCCGTCACCAATCAAATCCCTGCTGCAAACCAACATCTTAGTAAAATTTGTATTATACTTTCACTTCTTTATCACAGAAACAGATAAACACGTTGTTGACCGGAAACCTTCGAAACCATCCATTCGAAGTCAAGTAGTTGAAAATCTCAATCGTTCACGACGTCGCTGGTGGTTTCATCGTCATTGTTCACCTAATCATAGACGTTTTTCTCCGCCGGCCTGTGAATCATCGTCTTTTTTTTCAAATAATCCGCAACAGCGACAACAGCAGGTATCATGCAATAGGTCGAATCATTCATCGTTAACCTCATCATCACAATTGCCTGCATTCATTTGTGAAATATCACCACGTGGAAACAACAGTTTGTTATCTTCCAGCCAACAGCCGTATTTAACATGGACACATCGAAATTGTATACAACATCGACAAACTGTGTAAGTTGTTTTTCCTGTGGACTTTTCTTTTTATTAAAAAGACAGTTTCGATGAAGAAAAATTTTTTCTTTTCGATGAAGTCACCGTTAACTAAACAGCTGTGTACATTGGTGTATTTAGAGTGTATTGAATTGGTGAGGAAGTTCCAGAAGTCTATTTCCGGTTGGGCAAAGATCAAACTAATAAAACTACAAAGTGTAATAAACAGGAAGATTGAGTAGAAATGACATAGTAGGATCATAATTACTGAAAAACGACCGTTTGTACAAGAGCGATATAGAGAATAATGATAAAACACACAAGACAAGATGCTTTTCCCTTACACCACTTGAAAATACCTCCAAATTAGACTGAAGAGGGAGTATCATTTCTTAAGTGAGATCAGTTTCTCTACATGTATTTGCCTAGCTAATTAAAGACGAGTATTTTATGTGACCTGTTTATTGCTCTTATCCTGTAACCTTAAACGCAACCATAACCCCAATCCTAATCTTAACCCTAATTATAGCCCTGATCCTAAACCTAATCGTAACCGTTACCTTAACGAACTGTTAACACATCGACCAAACAGTACATAAAGACGAGATTGGGATGAAGTTAGCGCCTCACTCAATGAATAGCCTTCAAAGTGGCCGTATAATAATAACGGTAGGTCACTTTATGTAACAACTAGTATGCGATCAAGACGATTGGAGCGTTCTCACTTCTGGGCTGTGATAGGTTTGAAAAAAGTGTAAAAATAACGGAAATAAACAGGGAGATACGATAAGTGAAACAATAGGCTTATCATGATTGTGATGTGACTAGCTTTTTATGATGGGTATGATAGAGATAACAGTTAGATGGACGTATTTCTTTTGAATACATAACGTCGTGGGTTTGAACTTTTGGAGTGCTTGCGCTTCACCTATTCCCAACCAGATGCACTGATTTCACTGCCTTCCTTTGCAAGAGCGGTTTGATCGGATCTTGTATATATTTGACTGTGAAGAACTTTTCGTCAAATGAAGCTGAACGTCCTGAATTCACAACCATATGTTCTGTTACTGAACTATATGCACCCGTGTGTCTGTCCTCCCTTCGTTAGCCAGCCAGATTATATAGTGTTCCTGAGGACATGTTACAAGCGGATACATGATACGGCGCCAGTGTATTCGGCTCCACACAAGCAAGTCAACTGGTCTTTGCCTGTTGAGTTGGCTTGATGTAGGTGACAGCTTGTCTTTCACGTACATGCTACTTAAGTTTTTTCTTGCACAAGCAAATTATCACTCACAGGCTGGCGGCGAAGTATGTTTTACTAGTTTAGTTATTTTTTTTTTAATCCGAACTTCCTGTCTATTTTGTTACTACAGCATTTCTCATCCCTGACTATACAAAGGAAGTCAAGTTTCTCAGTAATTATTATCCTACTGTCTTTTCTATTCGACTTTCCTGTTTACTGCATTTTGTAACTGTATTAATTTGACCTACTGACCGACCTTAAATAGACTTCTGAAACTTTCTCACCCACTCACTACACTATGAATACACGAGTGTACAGCTGTCTAGTTAACGGTGACTCGTTGGGCATTTACCAACCAACCAACACCGTCTCTGGAGTAAACGTGATATGCGGCTGACTGTCGAGCAGAAAGCATACGTGTCTGTATCGTATCTACAGCCCATGCTTGTTTAGGTGGTAGATGTAAAAAGGGTGAGTAATATTGAAGTGACGTGAGGCATCGTCCGAGTGTTGTGCTATGCAAAGAGGAGGGTAATCCTCAGTGGACGGGGTTGTGAAGCAGTTACATGGATTGAATAAGATGATTAGGACATGTTGAAAAGCAACTAGCTAGCACATGGTGTGTGGTGAAACGAGAATATCGCCGGCTTCATCACTGAATGAATTCCATAACAGCAGTTAGATTGAGCCACCTAGCAGTCAGGTAAAAAGGTGTACATTTTCTGGCTGACTGGTTGAGGTCGTCGAGTTGGTAAGGACCATCTCTGCAAAATTCCATGTTGAAACCAGTCAGTCAGTCTTTGTACACAAATAATAGTATTTTATGGATGTATTATATTTCTAGCTAACTTTGTTTTTGTTTTGTTATTGTAACCTTTGAGCCTTTCAATTTCTGATAACACAACAAAATTTTATTCTTATTGTTTCTATACTACTGACAAAATGTGACAATTTGAATATATCTTTCAGTCTAACTGCACCACTGACGTCAAGTCGGTTAACTCCTGTCTGTGATCATGATACTGTGAACAACGATAACAACAAGTCGATTATCGATCATTCATGGACTTCATCAGCTGATGTATACCTTACAAATAAACGTCAGTTGATTTGTCTTCCGAAAGATATACATATTCTTGGAAACAAGAAGTACACTACAGTGGAAAACACCTATCAGTTCATTCAGCAATCATCAATATTTGCTAATCAATCATTTACTTGTAGACAATTCGATCGTCTACGGTGTTCAATGACACTATCGAATGCACAGAAATCTTCTTGTAAACCTTTCAAATCGTTCATTGATGTTGCTGTTGATGCTCAAATGTTATTGTCTGCATATAGCCAACGGAAATGCTCCTCTACTTTATCGTCTATCCCAGCGGATGAAATATCAGTGGATACATCGAATCCAGACGGTGTGATCAATAGTGGTACTTCAGATAACGAGAATCAACTGTATTCCTCTGATAGTATACAAGTTACTGGTGCTTCTAATTGTTCATCGTCTCATGATGGTGAAACTAGTCGAAAGGTTTCCCTCAAATCGGATGAATTGATGAAACAGATTTCATTACCACCTTTATCTACGTCCAATTCACTGCTATCTTCTGAGAGCTGTTTGCTTCAGAAAGACGCGTAAGTGAATTTTTCCGTCCTCCAGTTATTTAACCTGTACACACAGGTATTGGTGGCACTAGCTAGCTAGTAACTAATGTAATGTGTCTAGTCCTTTTCGTTTTGGTGCAGGCTGTTTTGTTTCTTGCATTTAACTCTACTTAAGTGTGACTGTACATTTGTCATTTTTGTTGTTACGCTTCTTCTTCCTCCGTAGTTGAAGTGTTCTTCCTGTGTTTTCCTGAGAACTTTCCTTTAATACTGCTCATTCATCGTGAGCGCTATCAGGTCCTATTCTCAGATAAGCCTTATCATAGTTTTTTGCAAAGAGGGATTTTTGTGAACGAATGATATTCTGTTGATGAATTTTCTTCAATGTGTAATTTTTCATTGTACCTTACACACAGTACATAATTTACAGATAACTACGTCGCCTGATATCTTGCATTCATTTTATTCTTACTTTGTGGAATAATTAGATAACCAATATTAAGTCGGGTAAGTGTGCTCTTTAAATCATCGTTCACGCGAATTCCTATTAGAAGTAATAATGATGATAATAATACAAAGATCTACAGTTCGCTAGCAGATTTGTTTGACCCCAAGGAATAATCGTGAGATGTGTTTTCTCCAAACAGAACAGCTGAAAGACAATAATAGTCAAATAATTTCCGTGAGAAATAATTATATACTACAGTATAGACTCGGTAGTACAGCGATAGCATGCTCTCGTCAACTACACCTCAAGTGGTCCAGGATTGAATCCTCGGCCGACGCACTCCTCGCTAACCCTTGTCACCTAACCGGTAGTAGATCTGGTTAAGTGTGATATAAAACACCACTGCTACAGAAACTTCAAAAAAAACTCTTGCTTTTGAAGCCTTATGATGTTCCACTAGGAACTTATAGGATTAAAAAATAGACTCCGTGGAGAGTGTTCGTCAAAAAAAAGTGAAATATGACACTTTTTTTGTCTGACTAATAGATAGATAGTCAATGTTCATACGATTCGAATCGCGGCCAGCTCTAGCTAGTCTGAGTTGGAGTCCTAAAGCTTATTTCAGACTTGGCGACCGGCTAGTGTATTATCACTCTTCATACAATAAGTGAGTGGTTCATATATCGTTTATAGACAGACGTCCGAGGATTTCATAGAGGAGATCGTGTATTGAGGAGGAGATGAGAGACTATGATTAATCATGAAAGCAGCCAGCTAGAGGCGAGAAAAGAAGACTCTAGGAGGTCTGGATTTCGCGCGTCGATGTCTCACTTCACAAAATCAACAAAATAACTGAAGAAGCTGGCAGGGAATACAGGACTTCAGCGGAACATAGTAAAGATGGAGGTGGTGAAAATAACTAACCAAACAACAATCAGCACCAATCATTAAAATCAAACGAGAAAATTTGAAAGACGGTACTTTGTGTCATCACTTATCTAGGAAGCCAGCATTATTTCAGCTACAGACAATCGGTTCAACCAATGAAGATGTCAAAGCCAGCCACTCAGGATCGAAAGTCAAGATACACCATCGTCATCACTCTGAAATCAGTTTGGAAATCTTCTCCACTCCTCAGCATAAAGGACAAAACTCGAATTTTCTACAGAAACGGTAAGTCAGTTAGTTCTCCTACATGGGTGTGTGTGTGTGTGTGCGTTTCTTGCAGCCAGATACAGGCTTTTACCAACAACTAGGCAGAAAGAATTAGCCATAATTGAACTCTAGGAACCAATCAACCAACCAACGAAGAACCTGTTGCCGAACAAATACGCGAAAACAAAAATGAAGATGGACCGCACACATGCTAAGGAGATCGTTGATTAGTGACAATAAGCGCCAGACACCAGGTCATCACTTGAGTGGGACCGGAATTCGGAACGATGGGTGTTATACTCTTTGGTGGGTGCAACCCTGACATGGAGGAGATCATGTGTGGTGTATATATATATATATATATATATATATTCTGTCTCTCCCTCCATCTTCTCCATGTTGTTTTTTGTCGCTTTCTATATCTCATGTCGATAGGCAGGCATTGTGTCATTCCGATTGCACTTATGCGGTGTTGAGTCAGTGAAAAAAGATTTAGTGATTAACTTCTTTGTCGCTGTCTCTACCTAACTATATTACATTTGAATACTTCTACCCTGTTCCATGCTATTGTGTGAATAAATGCAAGTAAATGAGATTCAATGGCCGAGCTAATTTTCTCTGTTATTTATCCTGAACCTCAATACAAAATACCTCAATTCTATGTGAACTAATTCCTACATAGTGAAACAGAAGTGGATGAAATTAAAAAGATGCAAAAATAACTAATTTTGACATAACCCTTTTTGTTGATTAATATCTAAATTAATATATATCTGTATAGAGGCAGTCACGAATAAAACGGACATTCTTCCTGAACTCAAGTGTTGATGTAATAATATCAGGTGTTCAGTTATGCCTGACCCCCACTGTATTCAAATTTCAAAATAAACTATTTTAACAAACGAACTGATTGGTATTGGGATCACCGATATCCCCAATAGTAGCAGACATATAAATCTATACTTGGTAAAATAAAACTCTAAAAACCTTTAAACCTTTCCCAGAGGTAGATTATGGTGGAGACATGCAAATGACACATTCTCTGTGTTGAAATCTGAACATATCGCTCACTTTTTCACAAATATATACACGTAATAGTGGACAGAATCCAATTTACTTCTGAGTTAGAAAATGAACAAGGCGAGTTGGCCACGATAAATTGTAGCATAAAATGAAAACAATATGGTGGATTAGATACTAGCATTTGTAGGAAGCCGATACACTCTGATAAATACTTAGACTTAAAGTCGATAAAGGAAGATTGGGTTAGGATTTCATCATGAGCTGACATTAGTTAGAGAACCATTGGAAAACCTGGGAGTACTGGACAGCCGTTTCGTCCTAGTTTGGGACTCTTCAGCAGTACGCACCCACCGCCAGGGTTCGAACCCAGGACCTTCTGGTTACAAGGCGAGCTAGCTCGTATACCATTAAGCCACTGGGACCCGATCCAATGGTCCTTGAATTCTAACTTCTGCCGATTCTCTAACTAATGTCAGCTCATGATGAAATCCTGAAACCAATCAAATCCCTACAAACCAACACTTGAAGATTGGTTTAGTTAAGTGTCTATATAATGGAACCAGGAGGCCTCCTACCTGGTAAGTCAGAAGATTTAAATAATGAAATCAAACAGATCAGGAAAATATTACTAATGAATAACTACTCACCAGAATTTATTCAAAAATGCATGAGAGACCGTAGGAAAATGAGATTAGTAATGAAAATGATAAAAATCACGAAGAAAATAATATAGAATTCGAAGCCTGTGTAGTAGTACTACCGCATAAAGAAGTAAGGAACATCAGAGGCCCTACGTATAATTCTAAATGACTCTGGGATTGGGTTGGTGGTCATTTCAGCCAACCAATCAAGAAACTCTCTCAGAGATAAACTTTGTCGGCCTGAGGATATGCCCGATTGATCCAATTAAGAATATTTTTATTTATCAAATACTATGTAATGGCTGTGAGGTCAGTTACATAGGCCAGTCAAACTGGTAGATCTGTGTCAGTTAGATTATCGGAACATAGAAATATAACTGGATCTAGAATTGTAACAGCAGAAGACAAGGGCCAGGCAACAGATCGTTTATCAAGGAAGGAAATCAACATGTATTCATATATTTTTATGTACATTATTGTAGTTTATTTAAGTGAACAAACACAGTCTTCTGATAGGTTGTTTCTCACAGAAAGTTAACCTTGCATCTCTTTGTGGCTGTTTCTTGAATGTCAGATCACCTATGTGCTAACTGTATCCACCTACGCAAAGCTTTTGTTCTCATTTTTCTCACGACCAGTAGTGGGGACATAAACATTGACGTAAATTACTGTCCACCAATTTTGACTAACAGCCAGGTCTTACCACAGAGTGATTAATCCAGCTAAGTGTCAAATAATCTGGAGGAAAGTCCATCCGTTGTAATGCATTCACTTGTATCTAATCACACAAAATAGATTTTGTGGGACAGTGTGATAGTAGTAAAAAGTATTATAGTTAGGTGGAGACAGTGACATTGAGGTTAATCACTGAATCTTTGTTTATCGATTCAACACTACATACACTCAGCTAATGTAAATAATGCAACGCCTATATATCGAAGAAATAGAAAACGGGAACAAATAACAAAGAGAAGATGGAGGGAGGGACATTATTATTATTATTATTATTGTATCCTTTAGTTCCTAGAGGAACATAGGGCTTCAGCTGCGCACCTCCATTGACTTCGGTTTTCTGACAACTTTTTCACCCTGCTCCAGGTCTGCCCACATGCTTTCATCTCCTCTTCACATGACCTCCTCCAAGTCACCCTTGGACGACCAACTCGCCGCCTCCCTTTCGGGTTCCACTCGAGGGCTTGTCTAGTGATGTCACTTGATGGTTTCCTCAGCGTATGGCCAATCCATCTCCATTTCTTTCTGCCTATTTGTTTCACAATCGGTTCCTGATTGGTTCGCTCCCAGAGATCCCTGTTGCTGATCTTTTCTGGCCATCTGATCTTGAGTATTGAGCGGAGACAGTTGTTAATGAAGGTTTGAAGTTTGTTTGAGATGCTCTTTATGACTCGCCAAGTCTCTGATCCGTATAGTAGCACTGACTTCACATTGGAGTTGAAAATCCGGATCTTATTTTTGATGCTGAGTGCTGTTGACCTCCACACAGATTTGAGAGTAATGAAAGCTTGTCTTGCTTTTCCGATTCTGGCTTTGATGTCCTCGTCAGTTCCGCCTGTAGTTGAGACGATGCTTCCCAGGTAGGTGAAGGAGGTTGTTTCTTTCAGGTTCTTCCCATTTATGCTTATTGTGGTCTGTTGTTGCTGTTGATGTTGGCAAGGAATCTTCATCATCTCTGTTTTATCTATGTTCACGTGAAGTCCTATCTTTGATGCTTCTTCTGCCAACTTGTTACTTTTCACTTGCATATCTTCCAGTTTATGGGAAATCAGACATATATCATCGGCGAAATCCAGATCCTCCAAGTCTTTTGTGTCAGTCCATTTTATGCCTGTTCCCTCGTTGGTTGCCGTTGTCTGTCGCATTATCCAATCAATTGCAATCAGGAAGATCATTGGTGATAGTAGACAGCCTTGCCTCACTCCCGTCCTCACTTCGAAGGCTTCCGTAAGTTTCCCGTTGTGGATTACTTGGCATGCAGCATTGTCGTATAACTGTTGGATGAGGTGTATAATTGTCGATGGGACCCCGTAGTAGCGAAGTAGTTTCCAAATGACCTCTCGATCGACGCTGTCGAAGGCCTTTTCAAAGTCGATGAAGTTGAGATAGAGAGGTGACTGCCATTCCAAGCTTTGTTCAATGATGATCCGTAGAGTGGCGATTTGATCAATACATGATTTGTTTCTCCTGAATCCAGCCTGTTCCGGACGAAGTTTTTCATCTAGGGCTTGTTTGATTCTCTCCAGGATGATGCGACTTAGTATCTTGCTTGGAATGGACAGAAGCATAATTCCACGCCAGTTTTTACATTGACTTAAGTCTCCTTTCTTTGGAAGTTTGAATAAGTAACTGTTCTTCCAATCCTCGGGTACTTTGCCCTCTTTCCACACCTTCTCCAGTAGTGGTGTCATCAAGTCCGCTGTTGTCTCTGGGTCTATTTTCAAAGCCTCTGCTGGGATTCCATCTGGTCCCGGTGTTTTCCCAGTTTTAAGCATCTTGATTGCATTCAGGACTTCTGATTTCGTCGGGGGGTCAGTGTTCACTGGTAGTTCTGCTTCCGTTGTTGGTATTGCTGGACGTGTTGTAGGTGGCGGACGATTTAGAAGTCTTTTGAAGTGTTCAACCCAGTGCTTTCTCTGTTCCACCTCTTTGGTGATTGACTTTCCATTGTCGTCCTTTATTGGCTTAATCTGTGTCGAACGTTTGCCCGAAAGGTTCCTAGTTGTTTGGTAGAGTGTGGCGAGGTCTCCTTTGCCTGCAGCTTGTTCTGCTTCGTTTGCCATGGTTTCATAATATTTTCTTTTGTCTTCCCTGGCACTTTTCTTCACTCTTTTGTTCAGTGTATTGTAGCTTGCATTCAGCTCCTGTTTTTGTTGCTCGTCCGTGCACTGGATAATCTTTTGCTTCACTGTCCTTCTCTCTTCTATTAGTTTCCAAGTGTCCGTAGTGAGCCACTGTTTGTCCTGTCTCTTTTTTCTGCCTAGAATTTCTATGCAGGTTTGGCTCCACACCGTTTTCAAGTTGTTCCAGTGCTTTTCAACGCCGACCTCTTCGCTAGTGTTGATTTGTGTCTCGGCTTTGTCCTTTATGCTTGCAATGAAGATGTCCTTTGTAGCCTGGTCCTTCAGCTTTTGAGTGTTGAACTTGGCTTGTGGTCTATCTGCAGCTCCTGATTCCCTGAAAGCTTTTAATTTGATTTGGATTGTCCCTTGTACGAGATAGTGGTCTGAGCCAACGTCTGCTCCTCTTCTTGCTTTTGTGTCCAGTAGGCTGCGCCTCCACTTCCTTGAGATTGAGATGAAGTCGATTTGGTTTTTGGTTTGCCCGTCTGGTGACACCCATGTAGCCTTGTGGATATCTTTGTGCTTGTATACACTGCCACCAATCACCAGTTCGTTGAAGGCGCAGAAGTCGGCGAAGAGTTCTCCGTTTTCATTCATTTCTCCTAGAGCTTCTCTACCCATGATGAGTTCCCTTCCCGTATTGTCTGGTCCCAGTTTGGCGTTCATGTCTCCCATTAGTATTTTCATGTCGCCAGCTGGAGTATTGTCCATTGTTGCCTGTAGTTGCCTGTAGAATTCTTCTTTCTTCTCGAGGTCTGCGTTGTTTGTGGGTGCATAACATTGTATGATTGACACTTTCCTTCCTTTGGAGTTGAACCTGGCGGTCATTATCCTGGACGAAATCGCCTCCCATTGTATCAGGGCTTTCGTTGCCGTTGGTGACATCATGATAGCCACGCCCTCGGTGTGCGTGTGGTTATCTTCTGGGTGACCGGAGTAGATCACTGACTCACCTGTTGACAATTTGGTGAGTCCACTCCCATTCCATCTGCTCTCACATATTCCCAGCACTTGTATTCCGTATCTTTTCATCTCGTTGGCGATCTGGGCAGCTTTTCCAGTCTCGTACATAGTTCGGACGTTCCATGTTCCTACACAGACTTTTTCTTTTGGTGCAAGGAGGTTCAGCATACTGAAGATTCTGTAGCAATTTTTGTTTACAGGGTGGGGTTGCTAGCCTCACGCCTGAGAAAAGAATGATTACATTAAGTAAAAGTTTAGAGAGAAGCAACTTTTTGGGTTGCTCCCCTCAAAATCAGAAAATAACGGACAAACAATGAGAACAACATCAACAAAGGAAACAGTTCACAGAAAAAAGGGCAAAAAGCGACGACAACTATACAATAAGACAACATGCAATATAGTTCAGTACATATAACTAAAATGATATCTTAACCATAAACTCACTGACTTGGAGCAACTTGAACATATAAATCCAACAATATATACAATTATAGATGTGTTTATGTTTAAAAATTCCACAAATCCAAACAGTGAGTTATGTGTATTATCTGTCAATAAGATTGTATTTTTTGGATTCAGTGTTCGAAAGGTTAATAATTGTGATAATTTCCGCAAACACTTTGCATAAAATTTTAGAGTAATAAGATATTTTATTTATGACCAAAATGTAGCGTAATAGTCGAAAAGCGCGCGCATGGAGGGAGGGACAGAGAAATTATATTCATATATGACAGATTGTTGTTGAACCGTGTAAATAACTTCATATGATTACTAGTAGGAATAATTGGTGCTCGAAACCTTATCATTCAGTCATTAACATAGAATCATCACTGTGTGATGATATTTAAAATAAACTTACCTACTATGGAACGACTAAACTATACATTTTCAGG